CATATCAATTAAAAACCCAAAAAACTCCCCCAACTATAAAACAAGCTCTCCTTTATTCTCTTCATCTCTCTAGTCCAATAATCCATGTGACTTAGTTTATGGGAGATAGGTGTGGTAGAGAGGAGTATCAGGATTGTACTCTTATTAAGTTTGGCAAATTTCAACCTAGGTGGATCAACCATGTTTGATCTACTACACCACAGTGTTTCTCAGGATATCCAAGTCACTAGCACCTGCAGTGTTTACTTTGTAGGAAAGCTAACATGCAACTCTAGGGCCACAGTGCTTTGCCCAGATCCAGGCACTGCTACTTCCTGGGTCAGGGCAGTTAAACTCTCTCTGCCGCAGTAGCCTGCCCAGGGGGCTGTCCCTAGGATTTCCCATATTACTAAATGTAAAATGTTTAGTTACTGCTATTAAAACAAGTCTGGCCAGGTGCCAGTGGCTCACACCTGTAATCCTAGCTACTCAGGAAGCTGAGATCTGAAGATCGCAGTATAAAGCCAACCCAGGCAGGAAAGCTAGTGAGATTCTCATCTCCAATTAACCACCAGAAAACTGGAAGTGGCACTGTGGTTAAAGTGGTAGAGCGTTCACCTTGAACTGAAGAGTTCAGGGACAGCGCCCAGGCCCAGAGTTCAAGCCCCATGACTGACAAAAAAAGAAAAAGAAAAAACAAGTTTGCCTTATTTGTGGATTTATCGATGCAGATTTTTGGAGGGGAGGGGGGTGTCAGTCCTGGGCTTGAACTGGGGTCTGGGAGCTGTCCCTGTTTTTTTTTTGCCCAAAGTTAGTACTCTACGACTTGAGCTACAGCTCCATTTCCAGATTTTTGGAGAGTTAATTGGAGATAAATATGTCACAGATTTTCCTGACCAGGCTGGCTTTGAGCCATGATCCTCAGATCTCAGCTTCCTGAGTATATAGCTAGCAATACAGGTGTGAGCTGCCAGTGCCTGGGTACATGCAGTTTTGATCCAGCATGGTATAAATAAATAAACTGATAAATTATTGATTGTTTAGTCCAAAAGAAATTTCAAAAGCAATGACTTCAATGGTGTCTCCTTTGAACCCCAGGTGCACAGATTCCAAGGCTCTACTACAATTGTTATTGTTATTGTTGTTTTATCATTCACCATGATTACTTGCATAATGTGCCTGCAGGCTCTTACCTTAAATATGTAAGTACAATAGCAGATCTCATGTGAAGGCATTGACCCTTCTTACTTGTGAACTGGGCTGGGCCGTTGGCTCACTCTGTGAGCGTGGGTCAAAGTGGGTGTTCGTGGGAATGGCTTTCTTCAGCATGGTCAGGGAAAGATGTCCCCCAACTCCCTTTTCAGGGAGGAAAAGAATGAATCCTGCTTCCCAACTCCAAAACAAAAGTTTATTTATAAAATACTGACAGTCTGACAGGACACGGAACTTGTGTGGTATATATTTCAAATCAATCTCTCTTACCTTTCATTTTAAAAAATAAACCTGCTAACAAGCTATGTGACATATATATATATATATTTTTTTCTTCTTCTTCCAGTCAGACACCTGCCATAAGAATGTGAACTCTCCCCATATTTTTTTGTTACATCTTTTAAATCAAAAAAATAAAGATTTGTATTGACTTCTGCATTTGGAGTTTTTTTTTTTTAAATATATATATGAATGAGTAAAGAAAGCAAGTTAACACGTTGAAATGCTTTGGGTTCTTCTTATGGAAACAAGAAGGGCACTAGGGGCCCAGGGGGACACCTGTGCTCAGAAGGGTGATCAGGGTGGGTGTTCCTAGACAAGGACACTATTGAGGCACTCTGGGGAGCTGGTGGTGGCTGCTCAGAAGGTTCCCCCCTCCCCCTCCTGCCTTCTGCTTCCTCACCCAGCGTGGCACCTTTGCTGTGCTGTCTGGTCAGGTGAGGAAAAGCCCCTGCCCAGAAGCGCTGCCCAGGGAAGCCTGGGCAGCATGTGCTGAACGAGGTACCCTGCTGTGCCCCTGTTTCCATTGACTCATGGCAGTGTCAGGTTAGGGGGTAAAATGGTGGGGGGGGGAAAGGGGGAGAGAAGGGGAGGCAACAGGATTTGCAAACTCCCTGGAGCCCTAGGATGAAGGCATTTCTGGAACCCCGAGCCTCTATTTGGTTTGTCTTGGCAGTCTGGTTACGGAGGAGGCACAGCCAGGAGGAGAAGAGCAACCCTGGTTATGCCAAGTGTGGGTTCCTGTAGACACCCCCAGATTCCTTTAGGGCATAGCGAGGCAACACCCAAAGAGCCAGGTGTGTCCTGGTGTGAACCCACTTCCGGCAGTGTCATACAGACAGGGACTGGGGCATCAGTGGCTCCTGGGAGTCAAAGGTCAGGGGGGTTCCTGTACCCATGAGCAGTGCCCGCCACACCCTTCTCATGGCCAGGTGTCCAGGAGGAGGTGCGGGGCCCTCCACTGCCCAGTGGATATGTAAACATGGGCGGAAATGTCTTCTTAAACCAACCCAGAGCTCCACTGCTGGAGACCTACTGTGTTTCCAGGTGCTGCTGGGGTCCCGGAGGTTCACATCCCAGCCTGAGGGGGAAGAGCATTCAGCCTCACTTCCTGGGCTCCTCTAGGAGTTGTGGTTTGCAGTGTCCTCGTGGGTAATGACCCTGGTCACACTTCACGAGTATGCCACCGCAGGCAATCTGTGCCTTCGGCGGGAGAGGCTGCAAGAGCTGCTTTGTTCACACACACACACAGAGGGGTGTGTTCTGTGCACATCTCTGCACACCTGTGCAGGAGCACAAGTGAGCACAGCACCATCCGGTATGCATGGGGTTGTTGGCGAGTGTGCCAATGAGATGGGGAGAGGGGCAGGACATCCTGGTGCACCAGCTGATTCATTAAAGGCAAAGGAAAGGTGGCCTCATGTGCAACACACTCACACACATATGCATACACACACACAATGCTTTGATACACCCCTGCTTTCCTCTCTGGGCTAAAAGAATTCCCTAATGCAAACTGGGAACTTATTCTTTACATGGTTAAACCCTCTGTGGACAAGGGAAAGGATGAGGTGGGTCCTTAGGAGATGGGGTGGGGGAGATGGGGTGGGGGAGATGGGGTGGAGGGGAAGGGATGGGGAGCAAAGCAAGCACAGCACCATCGCTAGTTCTGAGATGTCAGCTGAGGTGGAGAGCAGGACCTAGCTGATTCTGTGGGCAAATCAGAGGCGGCCCTAGGCACCTGACTCCAGAGATAAGTGGAACCCCAGCCCTTGGTCCTTCCTTATAGGGCTGTGCTCCACGGCCCAGACCCTCTAGGAGAAGGTCCTGCCTGCAGCAGCTGGTCACCCCCTCTGCTCTCCTGGTGTCCCCCCATGCTTCCTGGGTGGCAGGTGTGTGCAGGAGCCCCACACACTATGAGTATACCCTCTCCTGGGGCCTCCTGACGGCCCTCCCCAGTCGCCATTATTGGGGCTGATTGGAGGACATACAAGCTTTTCCTTCCCTTGGCTTGTGTCCCCAGTTCCTAACGCTTCTCCCAACCCACCAGAATCTAGCTTCATCTCCTCTCGGGCAGGGCCTGCAGTGGACATTGCCAGTGAGAACTGTTCTATGGGGGCGGGGAGGATACTGTGCTGAGTTGGACATGGGCTAGGGCTAGCTGGTCTGAGACAGTCCTCTGCCTTCAGTGGCACAGGGCCATGGGTCAGCTGCACAGGACTGGCTGTGGTCACCAAGAGGCCTCAAATGACCCCGGGGAATCTGTCAGCAAAGCTCCTTGCTGAACCCTTGAACTGGAAAGCCCATGCCGATGAGCAGACTGGGCCTCCAGAAGCAGCTTTTTAAAGGACATTCCTTGGAGCAGACTGTATGTAAGAGTTTTCTCTTCCTTCAGCTATTCTTGTCCCTCCATCCCCTCTGACCTGGCTTGCCTGGCCAGGCTGGCATGCAGCTGGGAGACTGTTCAGTTTGCATCAGGCTTCCTGATCAGTCCCTCCTCACTCGCTCTTGCTCTTTGCCCTGGCTGAGCCTGGGAGATGGCCTGGAAGATGTTCCCAGGAGCTGGGACACCTTGGACTCTAAATCAATGATGCCGGGCAGACTGGGGGCTCTGGCTTCCTGCCCCTTTGGGCTTCTGTACACCAAGCTTAGGAGGTTGTGGGTGGAGCAAAGGACACAGCCATGGAGCAGGTGAGCTGTGGAACAAGGAGGTCCCCTGTGCCTTTATGGACATGGGGGATGAGTGTGGGTGTGGATGTAGGGGCTGGGGTGTCTGCAGGCAGTGATCCGTACTCTGCCTAGCTCCCCAAACTCGGCAAGCTGAACTTCCTTTTCCTAGTGTCTCTCCAGTTCTTTCCTCCTTTAAGTGGGGACAGGCGCTGCCTGGATTGGAAGGAGATGAACAGAGTCCTGTTCTCCTATTCCTGACTTCCTGTGATACCCTAGGACTAATGATTTCCTAGTGCTCCATGCTTGATCCCTGGTGCCCCCCTCAGCCCTACACCCATGCTGCACCTCTCTGAGAAGCAAAGGGAGGCTGGGGTACAGTTGTGGGCGATTCTCCTCCAGCTTTCAGGGCCTTTCTAGAAAAGGAAACTGCTAAGCAGATTCTTACTCCTTTTTTTTTCTTTTCTCTCTCTCTCTTTTCTTTTGGTGCTGGTACTAGGGCTTGAACTCAGAGCCCTGAGTTCTGTGGTTGGGGGCCACAGCTGTACTTGCAGCTTTTTTGCTGGTTAATTGGACTTTCCCTTCCCGGGGCTGGCTCTGAACAGTGAACTTCAGATGTCAGCTTCCCAAGTAGCTAGGATTACAGGTGTGAGCCTGTAAGGAAGCCTAGCTTCCTCTCCTTATTCTAATTAAACCAATGGCTTGGTGGAGAATGAACCAGGGAGATAAGCAATGGAACGGATGAAGCAGGGCAGGGGCCAGGCATGGTCACAGGACCCTGGGACACCTACCCCGGGGTGGTGGCAGAGGAGGAGGCTTGGCCTCTGGGCTATCTAGCATTTTATGCACCGGAGCTGTTGGCAGGTATGAAACACAAGAGGGAAGGGGTGGCTGGCTAGACATCAGAAGCCTCTCTGTCCCTCAGCCATGCCTGCCTTACAGCCCTCAAGTCCTTTGCCCTCTTGGCCTCTCTCTTTCTCCATCTCCCCCAATCTCCAGTCCCATCTCTAGTCCAGGTGCAACTCACTGCAGAGCAGTGGGTCCCACATGCCAGCACACACATCCTTCCTTGGTCTCCTCCTCCTCCTCCTCCTCCCCCTTTTCCTCTTCCTCCTCCTCTTCCTTCTCGTCTTCCTCCTCCATGCAGGCTTTGCTGGCCCTGGAATCTGGAAAATTAAACTTGAGAGGTGAACAGCTGACTTGGTTTCTTGGTGTTTTTTGTTGTTTTCTGGCAGGCATGGTGAGAAGTGGTGAGGAGGATTTTGGTGTCCTTTTTTTTCTTACTTTCTTTCTTTTCCTACTCTGTCATCAAACAAAAGATGAAAATCCTGCAATAGGAGCCCGGGAGCCAGGGGCCAGGCTGCTGGGGGGCCGGTAGAGGGTGCTCTGTTGACTTGGGGGGTTCGGAGGGTTTTGGGGCGTAGGAGTCCGGCTAGCCTTGGGCCGGAAGAGGCTGCCCTGCTGGGCGCTGGTGCTGTTGGCGATGGTGACGTGATCAGGCTCCCCAGGGTCGCTCTCTGTGTAGCTGTACGCCTGGGCCCGCGAGATACCCTTCTGCTGGCGCCGCCAGGAGTTGTAGTAGGTTGGGTCGCTGATGTAGTGGTTGACAAAGGAGTGGGCCTTCTGGGGGTTCGGGTCCACCTCGTACTCACTGTCACTTCCCTGGAAGGGCAGAGAAACAGTGTCAGTGGCCTTGTGTGGACAGGTCTGTGTACTAGGACTGGGAGGCAGAGAGAGCCAGGGCCCCGAGCTCTGACCTGTAAGTGCCTACCTCCCTCATTGTGAGGTGGATGTACGACCTTCAGTGCCTACTCTGCCTGTTCCAGCACATCCGGGAGCTGCTGGCTTACACCTGTCATCCTAGCTACTCAGAAGGCTGAGGATCACAGTTTGAAGTCAGCCCAAGCGTGAAAGCCCATGAGACTTTTATCTTCACTGAACCACCAGAAAAGCTGGAAGTGGAGCTCCCGTGGTAGAATGCCAGGCTTCAATGAAAAAGCTCAAGGACAGTCCTCAGCCCCTGAGTGCAAGATCTGGTACTGGCACAATTTAAAATAATGTAAGCATGGGAAAAAATGCTTATAAGAGCTCTGAATTTTTTTTTTAGAGCTCTGAATTTTTATGCCATCATGACTTTGAAGTTTTCTTCTTAAATGCAAAATATTAATTGTGTGTGTGTGTGTGTGTGTGTGTGTGTGTGTGTGTGTGTATGTGTGTGAATTGTGGGGCTTGAACTCAGGGTCTGGGGGCTGTCCCTGAGCTTTTTCGCTAAAGGTTAGCACTCCGTCACTTTGAGCCACAGTATCATTTTCTAGCATTTTAGTAGTTAATTGAAGTCTCATGGACTTTCCTGTTGGTACAGGCTTCAAATTGGGATCCTTAGATCTCAGCCTCCTGAGTAGCTAGGATTGAGGGCATGAACCACCAACATACCTGGCTAATGATAAACTAATCTCTTTTTGTTGTTGTTGTTGTTGTTGGTTGTAGGGCTTAAACTCAGGACCTGGGTGCTGTCTCTGAGCTCTTTTGGTCAAGGCTAGTGCTCTACCACTTGAGCCACAGCACCATGCTGGCTTTTTGTTTATGTGGTACTGAGGAATCAAACCCAGAGCTTCATGCATGCTAGGCAAGCACTCTACTACTAAGCCACATTCTCAGCCCTCCCAGCAATCTTTTGAGAACCAATAAATAAGACAACAGATAGAACTCTCTAGAAGACAACAACACACGAAGAAAACAGCCCAGAAGACCTCATGGGAGTGTCCTCACCCCAGGCACCAATGCTGGTGGCTAGAGCAATTACTACCTTACACCAACATAAGCCAAACATAAAACTAGTGGGTGGGATGGCCACAAGACCCAGATAACCCAAGGTGGCTGCTTTATAGCTAAAGAAATTGAAGCAGTGGGGCTGGGAAGGTGGCTCAGTGGTAGAGTGCTTGCCTTGAACTGAAGAGCTGGGGACAGCACCCAGGCCCAGAGCTCAGGCCCCATGACCAGAAAAAAAAAATTGAAGCAGTGACCTGGATCATAGGAAATGGAAGGCTTGTCCTCAGAACCCCCAAGTCCTCTGTGAAGCTAGACCCTTAAGTGGCATGAGTGACACACTGCCAGCAGGTGCTCTGCAGGATGGTGTGGGCTACTGACTTGCATTTCTGTAATTGGCTTTCACACTTCCCTCTGTGCTACAGCTACTATTGCAATGTAAGTACGGATGCTGATACCACCTGAGTACTGATATTACATGCTACTGTGGTTAGGTAAGCAATGATGTGCATGCACATTGATATTGTGTGATTATTGGTGCTGGGTACGTGTTGATGGTAGGTGAATACTGACATTGGGTGAGTGCTGATGCCCAGTGAGTGCTGATGCTAGGTCCTGATACTGGGTAAATGCTGATGCTGGGTGGGTGCTAATGCTGGGTGTGTGCTGGTGCTGGGTGAATGCTGACGCTGGGTGAGTGCTGATGCTGGGTAAGTACTGGTGCTGGGTGAATGGTGATGCTGAGTGAGTGCTGGCATTGTGTGAGTACTGATACCTGCTAAGTGCTGATGTGGGCTAAGTATTAACATTGTGTGAATGCTGATGCTGAGTGAGTACTGGTCCAGGCTGAGTGCTGATGCTGGGTGGGTACTGAAGCTGAGTGAGTGCTAATGAGAACCCAACTATAGAATGAGTGAGGGCTTTGCTCAAGGCATTGGCTTTACTTAGATCTTCCTGATGTCCCAAAGCTTTGCATTTCCAAAGTCTGTGCTTGCTCTTCACTCCCGTACTGGGCTATGAGATGGTCACAAGAGCCCCTTCTCAGGGGCTCCCACTGGGGATTAAGTAGTCCATCTGCTGATTTATGTTCTCTGGCCCCGCCCTGCTTTCCCCAGCCCTCTGCAGCTCCCAGCAGACAGCTCCCCGGAAAGGCAGAGTCCACAACAGAACATACCCGGCCACCTTCCCTAGCGCGCAAGGCAGTACAATACGAGCCCCTTTCTTTGCAGCCAGCCCAGCTGCCCACCCAGGCCCAGGAGAACAAAAGACTTGAAGGCCGGAGGGCTCCATATGCCAAGGCCAGGGTGTGTGTGTGTGTGTGTGTGTCTCCCTCCCCAATGTGTGTGTGTGTGTGTGTGTGTGTGTGTGTCTCCCTCCCCAGTGACCAGCGAGAAACTCTGAGGTGAGCTGCTGGACTGCAGGTCTCCCAACCTGGTCAGCAGCTGTAAGAGTTGCCAGACATCTCCTGGTGCTAGAATTTCAGCCCCTCCAGGCCCCAGCATGGGGTGGGAGATGGCCAGTGGGGTAAGTTGAGCCCATTTTCCTTTGGGTCCTCAGACTCAGTCTCCTGCTCTAAGCAATGGGTAGAACAGTAGGTCTGCCTGTCACCATGAGGTAAACCAGCGCAGAAGAGGACATGGTGAAAGGTATTATTGGAGGGCAAGTGGGGGAACGGCACTGGGGTGAGAGGCCTCCGTGCTCCCCTGAGGGAGCAGAAGGGCTCAGGAGGCTGACTCAGGGTCCAGGCCTCTGGAAGACCAAAGCGCGTCTGATGTGGGGACAGAGTGGGCTTCCTCTGAGTCAGATCCCAAACTTTTCATCTGAATCACTTCTTCCCAGTGGCTGCTGCCTGCTGGGTGCCCACGGGGTGTCTCCCCCCCCCCCCTGGTCCTGACTGAGAGGCAGGGCGGAAGCTGAGGTCTGGTTGGGCTCCGTCCTCCAAGGCGGGGTGGGGCGGGGGCGGGGGGGGCTGCCTCAGCTAGGGGCACTCAGGCCTCTACTCCCTGAACATCTGTTTCTTTTCGAGGTGGGGGTGGGGTGAGAAAGAGACAGGAGGGGGAAGCAGGGGCTCCTCTTGCAGCCTTCCCCCTCCTCCCTGCCCCCCCCATAATTGAATGCAGCTTCCCAGGAGCAGGCCTAGCACAAAGGGGGCTTTCAGAGGCTGCCCTGCCAAGCCATCGGGCGGGCGACCGCTTCAGTTCCCCCCAACTCTTAACAGCTCCTCAAAGGCACTCAGTCAGCAATGATGGGAGCTGGAGCCAGGACTCTGGTCCTAGGGAGGGTGTGGGGAGGGGGTCAGTGCGAGAGAGGACCCTGGAGACAAGAGGGAAACAAAAAGGGGAGAACAAAGCCAGCCACCCCTAGCAGCAAGGGAGCGGGAGGCCTGGGGATGGGGTAGAGCTGGGGGGGAAGGGGGTCTTTATTTGTTGAATTTCAGAAGGCTGGGAGGAAGATAATGACCAGAACACAGGGAAACCACCTGGAGTGGCTCTCCTCTCATCTGTGGTTCCTATCCAGTCTCCTGATACACAGCTCTAGCCCTGCCCCTTGGAGGCCCTAACCTGAGCCTGCAGGCCATCTCAGGCCTCGGCTACAGCTCTGGGGGTTAGAGTTGGATGGAGTGACAGCTACGGGTCTCCTGGGTATCTTTGCCAGGGCTCTGGGCTCTTGGTGCTGATACAGTTATAACTCTTCCAAAAATGTCCCTTGAAAAATAACAGTTCAAAATCAATTCAAAGATGGCTCATGCCTGTAATCCTAACTACTCAGGAGGCTGAGATCTGGAGGAGCACTATTTGAGGCCAAGTAAGACAGAAAAGTTCACTAGACTGGTAGAGTACCAGCAGAGCCAGCAAGATTAGCCAGTGTGAGGCCCTCAGTTCAAGTCTAGTACTGCCAAAAAAAAAAAAAGTACACAAAATTTATGTACAAAAGAGAAAAAAAATATATAGGATGTGATTTGACCTGGAGGTTTTCATTTTACTTTTTACATACAAAATGAGTTTGAAGAAGTCAAGAACTAGATGTCAGGATTAGAAGGTGTGTATACCATGGCTTGACTTTTCTTTTTCTCACTGAGATTTATTTGTGTGCTAAAGATACATAGTTTTCTACTAAACTGGGGCTGTTATTTTGAAAACGGAGTTGGCACGTAGCCATCCTGCACTTTTGGAAGTTGCACCCAACAAGCTACAGGCTCTGTAAATCTCATCTTGGGGTGTGCCTTCCCTCTGCCCAGAGCCCCCTTTTCCTGACTCCCTAGAGGCTGGCTCTGGACTCTCTCCCCCCATCTTCTTCCCCTCAGTCTTACTCTGGCCTCTCTCCCATCATGTCAGTGTGCTTGTTTAGAAGTCACACTGACTTTCTGTTTATGGCTGTGTCACAGGAAGGCACTGGGCAGATTTCCGCCAGGGTTAGAGAGTGAGCTTTGGGTGGTCTGGCTCAAAGTATAAACCAGGCAGTGTATGCAGACGTACATTCAGCGGAGTGGGGGTGGGGTGACCGGGCAGGGCTCAACAAGATGCATAGTGACTTTCCAGACGTGACAACATTGTGACTATGTCCTGACAGTCACAGCCTCGACATGAGAGCACGCTGCCAGAGGGTGCTTATTCATGTGTGCACTGTGGGGGGCGGGGGGTGGAAGGGGAGGAGCACTGTCCCCTCCATCCCATCCCTGAGGAGCTACTGGAAAGCAGGGTCCTGTCTCTGTCACTTCCAGGAAGTGACAGGCAGAGGTGGCCTGGCACGTGTGAGGCCTGGGGTCCATGCCCACACCACAAAAGAAAGAGGAAAGGAGGGCTGGGAAGATGGCTCAGTGGTAGAGTGCTTGCCTATATGCACGAAGCCCTGGGTTCAATTCCTCAGTACACATCAACAGAAAAAGCTGGAAGTGGCACTGTGGCTCAAGTGGTAGAGCACTAGCCTTGAGCTAGTGGGACAACACCCAGGCCCAGAGTTCAAGCCCCACAACTGACAAAAAAAAAAAAAAAAAGATACTGGCAGTTTAACAATGGATGTGAAAATTAGAGCCTTTGTGAAAACCAGAGCCAATTCACCTAGCCTATCCCTCACCTTCCAAAACCATCCCCAACTCCACAAGCCGGCCTATGGAATCTGCCCCCCAAAGAAGAATCAAGACTGCTGTGACAACTGCCTTCTAGAGTCCCAGAGCAGTACTCCCTGGAAGTGACTGTTTCTAAGTTGCTAGGGAAACGGTACAAGTGATGAGATTGGATCAACTCAGACCAAGGGCAGTGTGGAGGATTCTCAAGCTCTCTCTGTCCACTCTGGGTCATGGGGCAACTTCTGAAGTCAGGTGTTCTGGAGCCCAGGGTCTTTCTTTAAGGCTGGAACAATGAAGGATGGCCTCATAGTCCTGGGACAAGTCTGTATCCTTGGGAGACCCCTCTAGATTCATGCAGGATGGTGACATAAAGCCTTGAGATTTGGGGCATTACCTCCTACCTTGGGAAGACTTACTCCCTAAACATCAATGCTCAGCCAGAGTGGGCAGAATAATGCACTCCACAGAAGAGCAGAGGCTTCACAACAGAATAATGCAGGAAGCTCTCCTGCTGGGGGCCTCTGAGCACAGACAGAGAAGTGTAGCTCACACATGTCCATGGGCAAAGAGCGTTCCTTTATCTTTTTCCGTTGCTACCTTGAATGTCCAGGATCTAAATGCTAGCTGTCATCTCTTAGAGAAGGAAGGAAGGAAGAAAGAGAGAAAGAGAAAAAGAGAGAGAGAGGGAGGAAGGGAGGAGAAGAAAGAAAAGAAAAAAAGAAAAGAAGGAAGGAAGAAAGGAAGAAAGGAAGGAAGAAAGGAAAGAAGGAAGGTCTTTCAGGGGAGAGACCCAGGCTTCTATAGACCTTCTTGTAAGCTCCCCAAATCTATGTATCTACACAGTTCAGTATTTACAAAAAGACGCCATGATCTAAATCATGCCGGTTCAGAGTTTGGTCCCCCATCTTAAGTCCCCAGGCTAAGCTAGGCTCTGTCCCTGCCAGCTGGGAGCTGGGAGTCAGGTGGGGTTCTTGGCTGTGCCAACCTCACCCATAACCCTGGAGCTGAAGGAAACAGCCGCGGGCCCACCACCGGATCCCCAGCTTCCTGGCCTTCCTACCCACGCACAGCCCCACTCCCCGCAGCACCTCTTCCTCCTTGCTCTCTCCCAGGACCTGGCACAAGGGTCCCGGGGGTAGGACACAGTGGCTGTCAGAAGCCTTTTCTTAGGCAACTACCAGGCTTGGCCCAGACAGAGGGGGCTGGAGTGGGAGGCTGCGCATTGTGTTACTGGAATGTTCTCAGCTCCTCCCACATGGCCTGGGACAGTGTCCCCATCTGACCTACCTAATGGCAATTCTGATGCTCTGTCTTCCACGGCTTGGACCCCTCAACCTAAAAGCCCATGCTTTGGGAATGGTTGTGTCTGGCCAGGCTCTTGCGCACCTGTGATCCGCTTATCCTCTTACCAATCCCACCAGAGCAGCCTGGCTGCTCTACACATGGAGAAACTGAGTCTGGAAGATGTTACTCAACACACCCACACATCCCAGCTCAGAGGCAGCAGAGTCAGGAGCCAAGCTTGGGCCCCAAACTCAGAGCAGAATGCCTAGCTGGTCTATATAGCGTCCCATCCTCAGAGGGTTGGGCACCATGTCTGTGGGGACAGGGCTCCATGAAGTCTGGGAACCATGCATGGGGGCAGGGCTGTCCCATGTGCTGAGGCCTCTGTCATTAGCGAACTCTGAGCTGGACTGGGAGGTGGCAGCTGGCCCATAAACGACTTCTGGATAGGTGGTTGGAGCCACTTTTTTTTTTTTGCTGGTCTTGGGCCTTGAACTCAGGGCCTGGGTTCTGAGCCTCTTTATGCTCAAGGCGAGAGCACTACCACTTGAGACACAGCGCCACTTTTGGCTTTTTCTGTGTATGTGGTACTGAGGAATGGAACCCAGGGCTTCATGCATGCTAGGCAAGCACTCTACCACTAAGCTACATTCCCAGCTCCCTGCTTAGTGTTTATGGCCCAAGGAAGGAAGGAAGGAAGGAAGGAAAGAAGGGAAGGAGGGAGGGAGGGAGGGAGGGAGGAAGGGAGGGAGGAAAGGAAAGGAAAGGAGGAAGAATAGAAGGAAGGGAAAGGGAAAGGAAGAAAAGGGAAAGGAAAGAAGAATGAAGGCAGGAGGAAAGAGTGAAAGAAGAAAGGAAGGAAGGGAAGAAGGAAGAAAAGAACTAGGGAAGGGAAGGAAAGGGACGTAAGGGAAGAAGGTAGGAAGAAGGTCTTATGGTGGGCTGGGTTGCAGGTGGTCTTGTCCTTTGGCCTCTGGGTGGGGGCTGCTCCCTGGGGCTCCCGCCCTTCGCCTCTCACCTGGGAGTCAGAGATTTCCGAGGGCTTCTCGGTGAGGCTGCTGCTCTCTGCGGGGATGAGGTCGTTGTACTTGGTGACGTCCTCATCTGAGTAGTGGAGGCTGCCAGGGCTGGGCCTGGGAGGGGACCTGGGGAGAGTTGGGGAGCAGTGGGGGATCAGACGGGCTTGGAGGAGCATGGGCTACCAGCCCCCTCTCCTAGCGCCTCCTCCCTCCTGTGCCTGTGACTTTGCTCCGTAGTTGTGGGCCTTGGAGAGAGGGGCCTGGAAGAGGGGGATAAAAATGAGGTACCATGCTAATGCCACCTTGGCACCATGCAGCTCACGCAGCAGTGTATGTGTGTGTGCGTGTGTGTGTGCACGCAGATGTGCAAGCGTGTATGTGTGTGTGTGCACACATGCACATACGCATATACATGGGCATTATCATTGCAGCCAGGTTCAAGCTCTTGGAACCTAGGGCTGGTTTGGGGCCAAGCCACGTATCCCAAAGGGCACAGGGGCAGGCATGGGCTTCAGTGTGTTACACTGTGGGCAAGGGCGGCAGGGAGGGGCAGGTGAGGTCACGGGTGAAATGCCCCCTTGTTCCATGTGGCAGAGCCCAGGAGCCAGCCTGGCGGAGCTGTGGTGGCCACGCTGGGCCCGGCTGGTTTGGTCACCACAGCCTCAAACAACTCTTTCTCTGAAAGGCTGGATCTGGCACAGGATAAGAGCCTGTGCACCCTGCCCCCTCCCCTTTGCCCCCTCCTATGAGCACACATGGCTTCTTCCCTCCAAGAGACACAGAGAAGCTTTGTGAGCGCCCCAGAGATCCTCCCCCCTCCCGCTACCTCCATCAAGCTGAGAATGTCAATAGGGGCCAGGCTGAAGTCCGCTGACTGTAGTTCTCAACCTCCCTAGCCTATGTTGGGGAGGGGGGTGTAGGCAGGTGGGTCCCAGCAGTGACCCCTGCCCTTGAAAATGGGTAGCCTGGCGGCCACAGGGGAAAAAAATACAACAACCTAGGGGTCAGAAGAAACAGAAGCTGGGCATGAAACACAGCTCCTGCTTTTCCCTGCTCACTGCTTTCAGGGGCCAGATGGTGGCCAGAGATTCTGATCTAACGTAAGGACCAGAGGAGTGGTCTACAGCAGGAATGGGGGAGCCCCTGGCACCTCTCATTGGTATGTCTTGTGTCTTGTCTCAGAGCCTCACTGTGCCCAGCTTATTTGGGGGGGCATGTATTTATCTACAAACTCTTCTCATCCCTGGAGCACCTTAGATCCCCACTTCCCCTCCCTCCCCCCAACCCCAACACATAGTGGGGTTTGAACTCAGGGCCCTCTCCTCCTCCTCCTCCTCCCCTCCTCCCTCTTCTTCTTCTTCTTCTCCTCCTCCTCCTCCTCCCCCCTTTTCCCTTCTCCTCCTCCTCCTCCTACTTGCGCTGTCCCTCAGCTCTTCAGTGCAAGGCTAGCACTCTACCACTTGAGCTACAGCACCACTTCCAGCTTTTTCTGCTTATGTGGTGCTGAGGAATCGAACCCAGGGCCTCATGTATACAAGGCAAGCACTGAGCCACCTTCCCAGCCCCCTGTACTCTTCTGGCTTGACTTTTTCTCTTGTGGCTGGCTGGTGCTTTACCACTTGAGCCACAATTCCATTTCTAGCTTTTTGTTCATTCATTGGAGATAAAAATCTCATGGACTTTCTTGCACAACAGCTTAAGGTTGACTTGTCACATTTTGCAAGTTGTTTGCATTCTTCTGCCATTCCAGGAACCTTTTGTACCCAATTCCTTGAGAATTTCTAGTGAGTCTGGGCTGTGATCCATCCTGTCTCATCTGGCAGGAGCCCTATAAGCCCTCCAGTGCTCTGCCTGGGTCCTGCTGATGGCTCCCAGCCAGAGAGTTTGGATGCTGTTTCTCAAGAAAGGGAAGGCCAGGTGGGCCCGGCCTGCTCTGTGATCCTCCCCAGCCAGCACTCACTGCTAGGCTTCTGTGCTCCTTCCCTCCTCCTGAAGGCCACTAACCTGGTGTACAGGCCATTCTTTCTGCAGAAGGAGTTCTTGACCGACAGCCTCCTGTTGTTGAGTTCCAAGGCAGGAAAACTGCTTTCGTCCAAGCTCAGCATCTCCCCATGGCCTAGGGCTCCCGATTTGACATTGCCTGCTGGGGGGAAGAGGAGGGGGTTTAATGCCTTGAAGACCACGTGACCTCCCCTCCCCTACCTGGCTGGGCTACCCCCTCTCCCCCCTACTTAAAGATGAGACTCCAAAAAGAGTCAGAGACCATGCTGAAACTCCAAGTTGCCCACTGGAGTAGCTACATCCATTTGCCGGGAGAGAGACCTGCCCACCCCTGCTCCAGCCGAAAGGGAGACCCTGATAGCCCAGTCCACCGCCAGCTGGTTCTGGTGATGGCTTACTCACCTGAGTCTGTCTTCTTGGCATACTTCTTGCTCTGGCCTCGGATGATGAGCACAAAGACCAGAAGCAGGATGAAGATGAGGCCCACCAGGGCAATGACCACCAGGAACCACCACTCCTCATAGAAAGGGTTGGCTTTTTGGGCTGGACAATGGATGTGGATGTCAGGTACGCTGCTCAGGATTTCCTCCCTCCAAACCTCCCACCCCAATGGATGTGTGAGTCTTCTGGGTAGGCTCAGAGGTCTATGACCTCTGAAGGAGGCAGAACCCATGACAGGTTTGGAATGCTAGTTCTGATTGTTGGCAGAAGACTTCCTGGGCCAAGAGAGGTTGTGAAGTTGCTCTGAACGCATTAGGAGAGCATGCTGGGATTGATTTGTGATGTCTTCCAGGGACATAGGCATGATAGCAACTTTCCCTTTTTTCCCTCTTGCCTCAGGACAAAAGCTTTGCTAGGCCCAAATGTGCTGAGTCCTGGGCATGTGTGTGTGTGTGTGTGTTGGTGGTGGCAGTTTCCTTGGCAACACAGTTAATGACCTGGCACCCTTGAATTTCTTGGGTCATGAGCTCATGAAAGCTATTGTCTTGGGCCCATGGTTCTTCCCCTACACACAGGCCTTCTGAAATCCTGGAAAGGGAAGTTTGAAGTTCCAACTTCCAGAGCTGCCCTGGGGATGAGAGGGGATGTAGGCTCTCGGCCCTGAGTTCAGAACTTGGGGAACTGAGCAGCAGGACATTTTGGTGGTTACCCTGATGAGTCTGTTCCCTGGTGTCTCTCCTCCTCTCCCACTACCCGGTATGTCACCAGGCTCTTCTGTGGAATTCCCCCCAACTCCTCACCCCATAGCACCAGTACCTGGCACAGACTGGGAGGGACTGCTGGGGGTGCCGAAGCCATAGTCGTTGACAGCAATGACCCGGAAGTCGTAGCTCACGCCAGGTTTCAGGATGTCCATGCTGAAGGTGTAAGAGCTCACCTCCTTGGGGATGTCCTTGATCAAAATGTCCCAGAGCCCCTCATCTGTAAGAGCCGAGAGGGGAGGGGGCTCAAATCTCACCCCTCTTTGATTCTGTGTTCCTGTCTGGTCTCCCAGCTCAACAATATGGCTGACTGGGGATTGAACTCCAGGGCCATCAGTTTCTAGGCAAGTGCACTACCATTTGAACTATACCACTAGATTGGGGAGGGCGGGAGGAGATTTTTATTGTTGTTTTGTTATTTTTATCAGTCCTAGGGTTTGAACTCTGGGTCTGGGCACTGTTCCTGAGCTTTTTTTGTTCAAAGTTAGCACTCAACCACTTGAGCTACTGCTCTACTTTGGGTTTTTTAATGATTAGTAGGAAATAAAAGTCTCACTACCTTTCTTGCCTGGGCTGGCTTTGAATCATGACCCTCAGATCTCAGCCTCCTGAGTAGCTAGGATTACTGGTGTGCGTCACTGGTGCTGGACTCAGCGGGAAGACTTTTATTGTGTATTAGTAGTACAAGGGGTTTTTATTGTGACATCTCCATGCATGCACATAAAATACCCCTGGTCAAACTCACACCCCTGTCACTCTCCCTTACCCCCTCTGCCTTCCTTCTGAACACAATCTCAACAGAGTTCATTGTTCTATTTGCATGTTCACCCTCATCCACATTCTCTATCACCCCTTTCGCTGATACCCTGCCCCAATAGAGCCTGTTATACTTTCCTGTCAATTTTTAGGATATGTTAATTGTACAAAGAGGTTTCCTAATGGTATTTCACACATGCATATATTACATTTTAGTCTTATTAAACCCTTTTAAAAAATCCCAGGAGGGGCAATTTTTTTTAAAGATACCTTTTAGAGTGTATCATTCTTTTCTAGTAAAGCATCTTTATAACATTAAAATGTATATGCTATGAAGAAAATACTGTAACAGCCAACTTGATACAAGTTGGAGGCTCCCAGTTGGAAAAATCTAAAACCCAAATCGCCCCAATCCAAGACTTTGGAGGTTCTTGACATAACAGAAGACAATTCTGTATGTACTATAAATCTGTTTCATACACAAAATTATTAAAAATTGTATAAAATTGTGGCCAGGCAATGCAAGATGTCTACGAGACATCAGTGGATTTCATGATTAGGCTCTCATGACATCCCTAAGACAGCTCATTGTGTGGATGTAAGTATGCCCAAGTCGGAAACATTCAAAATCGGAAACACTTCTGGTCCTAGGCATTCAGATGAGGGACAATCAATCTATTCAACCACCCAGAAAAAGAGACCCAACATTTTAGCCCTTGAATGGTCTGAATTCTAAATTTTCTCTTTTCTGTGTCATTAAAAAAATAGTTGGAGCTGGGTGCTGGTGCTCATGCCTGTAATCCTAGCTACTCAGGAGACTGAGGTTTGAGGATTGCAGTTCAAAGCAATCTCCTGAGTAGCTAGGATTACAGGCCTGATCCACCAGCATCCAGCTGAGACTCAAGTTTTTGATTCTCACGTGGCAAGCATATAGGAGATTACTACCACATGTGGCTTATTTGCTATTTTTTGCTTAGGCAAGCCTTGAACTACAATTGCCTTGATCTGTCTCTTGAGTAGCCAGGATTAGACGCATGAGTCATCATGCCTGGCCTCTAGCATTGTTTCTGAATTGAGGATGAGTGTGTTGCTTGATCTGCTGAAGGCTGCCTGCTCCCTCCAGTGTAGACCTGGCCACATGAAGGCCATGAGGGCTGTGTCCGTGTTCAGACAAGCTTCCGTCTCCACTGTGGGTATTTGGAGCATTTGCCATGTTCCCAGTGTCTTGTTGCTAGTTACCTTCCCTTTTCTCTCTCTCATTTTCTTCCTGCTAAGCTATGAAATCCTCAAGGGCAGAAATCATGCCTAGTTTGTCTCTGTATAAATTATCACCTAGCACAAGCACCTTCTAAGTGTGTGCTGAATAAATGGAGATTTCCCTTGCCTTTTCCTACCCTCCCTTCCATCCTTTCCCTTTTAACTTCTTCCTTCTCTCCCTGCTTTCCTCCATCCCTCCTCCTTCCATCCCTCCCTCTTTCCATCCTTTTTTTTTCTCCATTTCTTTTTCTTTTTTAAAATTATTATTATTATTATTGAGGTTAGAGTATTATTATTGTAGCCCAGGCTGGCCTTGAACTCTCAATCTTCCTGCTTCAGCTTGCTGAGTGCTAGGATCACAAGTGTGGCCTTGTGTTTTGTTCTGTTTTGTTTTTTTCTCTGCTGATCCTGAGGCTTGAACTCAGGTCCTGGGCACTGTCTCTGAGCTTCTTTTGCTCAAGGTTAGCACTCTATCACTTAAGCCACAGTGCTACTTTCAGCTTTTGGTGGTTAATTGTCTCACGGACTTTCCTGCCTGGGCTAGCTTCAAACCGTGATACTCAGATCTCAGTCTCCTGAATAGCTAGGATTACAGGTGCTTAGGGATTTTGTTTTTAAGTATTAGGTGTCCAGTTTCACTGCATTGACGTGTAAGCATCAGGGCATGAGTCCACTTGCTGTGTGACTGAGCTCTCCATCACTGTGAAGGAACTGTCCCAATAGGGACAATGCCAATGGCAGGCCGACAGCTGGCACTGACCCCGGGGTCACTCCTCTGCCTGTGGGTTACCTCCAAGCCCTTAGGGATGGCAGAAGGGAGGGACTGTTGTCTCCATTTTACACTGAGAAAATCAAGGCGTCCCAACGTCACACAAAGCTCGTATTTCTGACCAGAGCCATTCAAGTCTTGGCTTTGAATTTCCCTGGGGTGCCTAGGGCAGAGCTGTGTGACACTGGCAGTTCACCAGTGCTCCATGCCACCTGTGGCTTGTGGAAGTTCCCACTGACGTCTTCCAAAGCTGAGGCCTCCTGCCTGCCCCCTCTCCCTCCCCAACTCGTTGTGTTCTATGCAGAGACAAAAGGTGGGGCCATGGCAAGGAGGCCAGAACAGAAGCTGTTGGAATGTCCTAGGGCCTTGGCCTCCAGCCCTGCGAGTCAGCTGATGTGCAGGACTGGCTTCACAGGCCTATGAGTCCCGAGTGAGTCCCTCATTGGCCCTGCCTTGCCCCGTGGCTCTCTGGCTTCTAGAAAGTGCGCATTTAGCTGATCCTGTGTAATGAGAAGGACAATTGAGAGTAGTGTATAACAAGAGCAATTTCATCCTCGGGAGGAAGCATGTGTCGCTGGGCACTGGTGGCTCACACCTGGAATCCTAGCTGCTCAACTCAGGAGGCTAAGATCTGAGGATCACGGTTCCAAGCCAACCCAAACAGGAAACTCAGTGAGGACTCTTATCTCCAATTAACCACCTGAAAACCAGAAGTAGTGCTGTGGCTCAAAGTGGTAGAGGACTAGCCTTGAGCAAAAGCAGCTTAGGGACAGCCCAAGACTGGCAAAAGATAAAATAAAACGCCACAAAAAAACCCCAAACAAACATGAAAAGCATCTGTCAGCACAGAGAGAGACCCAAAAGAAGGGGCAGGGAGCACAGAAGGGAGAGGAAACATCCCCCCTGAACAGCAGCTGCCTCTCAGCTGATTTAGGGGAAAGCCATAGCATTCCTCACTGCCTTCCTATACTTTCCAGTGTCTGGCACAGCTTGGTCTTGCCTCTGCTAGCTTGGTCCTTCCTCGATCAACTCGTGTAGACTGAGTCACAGCTCCCAAATTTGGAAGGCTCAGGCTAAGCCTCCCTGAGAGTCCTCCTAGATCAACAGGCTGGAGTCCAAGCCAGCATTCCAGTGCCTGTCACCAGGGTCAACCCAGGGGGAAAAGACAGGCCCAACCTGGTTGGGAAACGAATGTGATGCCTCCTGGCCAATGGGAAACGAATTCAATGGTCTCCTGGCCAACTCAGCAGCTGGCACTGGAGGGCCAGGGCGGGGCCCTCAGGAGCAGGGATTGGGCCCAGCCCGCCTGCAGCCCAGGACATGGTGGGAACCAAGCTGCTACACATATTAACTATTTGCAAGTGTGATTGTTAACCTAAGATGAAAGTCATGATGAGTGGCTTTACTAGTGGAACTAGTAAAGTCTGCTATTGAGGTAATGAGCATCTAGCCACTTGGGGTATTAACAAGCTGTGTGTGAGAGTGTGTGTGTGTGTGTGTGTACTAGGGCTTGAACTCAGGGGCTTATGCTTTTACCTAGCTTTTATCACTCAAGACTGGCACTCTACTACTACTTGGTCCATACCTCCACTAATGGCTTTTTGTTGGTTAAATGGAGATGAGAATCTTATGCATTTGTCTGCCAGGCTTTTGAACAGAGGTCCTCGGATCTTAGTCTCTCCTGAGTAGCTAGGATTACAGACATGAGCCACCCAGAGCCCTGGCATGGGGCAGTAACAATTTGTCATTGAGATGTTTTAGTACACCTTCTTCTTAGAAGTATTAGTTTCTGACATGCTTGGCTCCTCCTCATGTTATGATTTGCTCCTGGGATTCAAGTAGCCAGGTCTTGGCTTTTCTTTCTTCACTTTAATCAGCTAGCTCACAGATCCACAGAATACAAAGAAAAGCCTGTGGCTCCTGGCTGACTTTGGCACCTCTGATTAACTTGGAAACCTAGCAACGGAGGGAGCTGGAGCTTCTCTGGGTAAGTGGAGCCTCAGCCCAGGAAGCAGGTGTCAGGACAACGGTGAAACAGAAGCGGAGAGCTGAGCCCCCTGGTGTGGCTTATCAGTGTGGCTCATCTCCTGATGGCTTTGGAAGTTCTTGTGATTTGATTTCAGGCTTGACAGGAGAGGTTGGTACAAATTACAGGAGCTATGAAGAGAGGGAGAGCTGAGAGGGTGCAGGAGATAAGAGATGCAGGAGGAGCTTGGGTCTCTGGTAATGTGGAGTATGTGGGATGGCTGTGCATGCACGCACGCGTGCGCACACAAACACACACACACACACACACACACACACACACACACACACACACTTGCCAGTTGTGGGGCCTGAACTCAGGGCCTGGATGCTGTCCCAGAGCTTTTTTTGCTCAAGGCTAGCACTCTACCACTTCGAACCACAGCTCCATTTCCAGTTTTCTAGTGGACAGAGATCAGAGTCTCCTTGACCCTCTTCCCTCAGTTGGCTTTGAACTGCTGTCCTCAGATCTCAGCCTCTTGAGTAGCTAGATTACAGGTAGGAGCTACCAGCTCCCTGCCAGTCTCACCAATAAATACTTAACCAAACCCTTGCTCTGCTGACTTCTTGAATAATCTTCCACCCAAGCTAGTTTGCATTTGGTGCTAGCAGCCATTCTTTCAGGAAGTGGGTGGGCACCCCTGGGATCTCCTTAATTGAGAGTCCAGCTCAGAGGAATCACCTGTCTACTAGTTCCCCAACAGGGCTGCCTTTTTAGGTAGAGGCCTGACACAAGCCCAAGCGCAGGGACAGGAAGGTGGCAGGAAGTGAGCTGTGGAGTCTTAGCTCACAGGTGGGAGGCAGCCTGGCCCTTGGAGACCCACCTGAAGGCCGGGCCTCTATGACGTAGCGGGTAATGGGTCCTTTGCCAGGGTCACCGCTGGCCCAGTGGATGGCGATGGCAGAACTGTACCTCACGATGATGGGCACTCCTGGTGGGCCCGGGGCACCTGCAAAACCATACCCAGTGGTAAGAGGCCTGCTGGAACCCAGAATGGCCACCCTGCCTGTCAATCTGGGGGTTCTGGGTGACAGTTCCAACTCCAGCCAAAGAGCCTCCAGGACCCTTGTAAGCGTCAGGGCCTGGGGAGCGTGTTTGGGGCTTAGCCTACCAGGATGTGACTGTGGTCTCCTTGGGTCACCCCCACGCCCCAAATTACAAAGTCCAGCATAAGAGAGTGCCTAGAAGATGCTGGTAGGTCTCGGGAGCAATCATAGGACCTGGGGTTTAGCTCCAGCCAGAATTTATTACATGGGTGGCCTGAATCTGTTCAGGAAGCCCCTCTGAGCTCCCTCTGTTTGCCTATCTGTAAAATGTCTCGAGAAGTGAGACTTGAAGGCAGATCCATGGGGCAGAGGGAGACCATGGGTGGAGGGTTGGTTTGAGGGGGCCCCCCAACATCATGTCCTTCCTAGCAGGTGGTGGTGACGTCAGCTCTAACTCGTGTGTGTGTGTGTGTGTGTGTGTGTGTGTGTGTTGCCAGTCCTGGGGCTTGAACTCAAGGTCTAGATGCTGTTCCTGAGCTTTTGTGCTCAAGGCCAGTGTTCAATCTGCCTTTTGGGATTCACAGCTACATTTCAGGTTTTTTTGGTTGTTAATTGGTGATAAAAATCTCACACATTTTCCTGCCTGGGCTGGCTCTGAACTGTGATCCTCAGATCTCAGTCTCCTAAATAGCTAGGATGGCAGACACGAGATACCAGTGCCTGGTCAGGAGGTGTATTTTTTGTTCTGTTTTGTTTTTGTTAGTCATGGGGCTTGAACTCTGGGCCTGGGCACTGTCCCTGAGCTCTTCAGCTCAAGATGAGTGTTCTACCACTTGAGCCATAGCACCACTTCTGGTTTTTTGGTGGTTAACTGGAGATAAGAGTCTTACAGGCTTTCCTGCCTGGGCTGGCTTTGAACCGTGATCCTCAGGTTTCAGCCTCCTAAGTAGTTAGCATTATAGGCATGAGCCACCAGTACCTGGCCAGGAAGGGGTAGTTTAGGGGAAGTTTGAGGAGGGTAAGCATTGTCTCAGAGGGGCAGGCAGAGTGCCTCAGACTTTTTGTTTGGGGTGATTGAGGCTAATGATCACTGGGGGGGGGGGTCAGGGAGGTAAAGGAAAGGAGGAAGTGAAAAGCTGGGAGAGAGGAATGGGGTGGGTGGAGGGTGAGCTCTGTGTACCCTACTTTGTGCCCAGGATCCAGCACAGCTCTGGGCATCAGGAGTGGGAAGGGCCTTCTCACTCCAGGTGGTTTTTGGTTTTTTTTTTTTTTTGGTCGGTCGTGGGGCTTGAACTCTAGGCCTGAGTGTTGTCCCTGAGCTCTTCAGCGCAAGGCTAGCACTCTACCACTTGAGCCACAGTGCCACTTCCGGCTTTTTCTGTTTATATCAGGGCGTCATGCATGTGAGGCAAGCACTCTACCGCTGAGCCACCTTCCCAGCCCCTACCTCGGGATGTAGAAGAGACTGGTGTGCTGAGGTAGCACTTCCTCATGCCCCTACCTTCTCCTGGGCCGGTGGTGACGTTGGCTTCGATCTCAGGCCCGTAGGTGAAGGTCTTGGCCCGGATGCGGAACCTGTAGGTCATGCCCTCGGCCAGGTCCTTCACCTTCAGCCACAGCGGGCTGTTCCCCTTCACGTCCACTGTCACGATCTTGCTGACCCCTGGGGGAGGGAGAAGTCCAGTGAGCAGGGGCTGCTGTGGCCTGCGGGAGCAGGATCACAGAGGCTGTGGGTGGGGGGGCAGCAATGGTGGCCGGAAGCCCCCGCCAGGGCCCCCACAACTTGAAGACCAGCTGAGATGTGATGCTGGCTGACACAGCAATGAGACCCAGGCTGTGTCCTAGACACATTCCTGTGTTCTGCTTGATCTGAGGCTAATGAGTTTGGAGGAGAGCTGGATTGCCCGTCCAACTCCTAATCAGCAGCCCTAGGGGCCTAGAAATTATTTAATATTTTGTTGTGGGCCTGGGTGCTGTCCTTAGCTTTTTATTTTGCTCAAGGCAAGTCCTCTATGACTTGTAGCACACCTCTACTCCCGGCTTTTTTTGCTGATTAACTGGAGATGAGAGTCTCATAGTCTTTTCTGCCTATGTTGGCTTCGAACCATGATCCTTAGATCTCTGCCTTCTGAAATGGCTAGGATTCCAGGCGTGAGCCATCAGTGTCATCGTTCAGATGACAGTGGGGGTCTGGAGGGATGAAATGATCACCAGGGCTGGGGCTTCTTCATACTGCTACACAAACCCTTCTACTTGAGTCTTGGGTTTTCCCTTCGAGAAATGGGGGCATTGCTTGACTCTCCCTCCCATGGGCTATGGCGTGAGCTGGGGCAGACATTGTGCTGGCCAGGGGAGGAAGGGGACCATCCAATCACTCTTATTAGGTAGATTCTGACACAGGAGGACAGAAGTGTCTAAGAGAGAAGACTTCAGCTCTGTGGCCCAGATCCTGCCACACTGAAATGCCGGGGAGGCTGAGTGCTTGTATTTCTCAAGGTAGGAGGTGCCTGGACAGGTGCAGGTGCTTTTCCAGGCTCCTGTGTTTTGTCCCTGTGTTCTCTGCCCTGGCCCTGTTCCCAGGCCCTGCACCTGACCAGATTTCTTCATGAGGCCCAGATTTTTCCCAGTTCTTTGTTCTTGTGCTGGTCCTAGGGCTTGAACTCAGGACCTGGACACTGTCGTTGAGTGATTCTGCTCAAGGCTACAGCTCTACCATTTGAGCCATTTCCAGCTTGTTGTTGTTGTTAATTGGAGGTAAGTGTCTCATGAAGTTTCCTGACTGGGGCTGGCTTTGAACAGTGATCCTCAACTCAGCCTCCTGAGTAGCTAGGATTACAGGCCTGAGCCACCTGCACCTGGCTCTTCTCCACTCTGTCCAATGGCTGCTGGCACGCAGGTGGTGGCAAGGAGGAGGGCCATTGTCCCCTCCACTGACCCAGAACTGCCGGCCCAGCACGGCCCCTTCTTCTTGCCAGGATTGGTTGCTGGGAGGAGTTAAGAGTGAGGGCAGAGGGGTGACTGGACTGAAGTCGCGGTCACTCCCTGGGTATCACTGGGAGGCCACCCACACCCCAGGTCCCACTCTAAGCCCTAGCTGATGACAAAGTATCAGTGGTGCTGCTCACTTTGGTGTGAACTGGGCTGAGTTCACACCAGCCACGGCTGGACAGTCAGGAAGAAAGCTGGCAAGTGTCTGGCATCCACTGTCGCGGTCAGCTTGGGCCTCCCTGGGAGGCTGTGGGTGTGGCAGGGACCCGGCCAGGGGCTGGAGGGGTCTGAAGGTAGCTGGGATGAGCAGGCCTTCGCTTCGTGCAGAGTGGGCCTCCTGATATGAGGCTCACAGCTGGCAACAGGGTACAATGACCTCCCCCGCCCCTCCCCAATACTGTGCACCATCTTTCTGGGCAAGGCTGAGGAGCTTTGATCAGATTCCTAAAGGGAATTTGCTTCTTGGAGTTCCCGAGTCTCCAAAGCCTGAAGGATTAACCTGGAGGAAGGCTGGGAACGCTCAAGTTTGGGAGGGCAAAGCTAGGGCAGTGTTGTCAAGGACCCTTCTTCTTCGGGGTCCTGCAGAGACGCCGCTCTTAGAAGGCTGTCCTTGACCCAGATTTCCTTCCCTCCTTTCTCTGATTCTGTAGACTGAGGTGAAGAATTTTTAAATTCTCTGTAATATACAGATGGGGTGAATCTGATCAGTGTGTGTTACACACACGTTACGTCTTTCACAATGGAACCCCTTTGTACAATAATAAATGCTAATAAGAAATAAAATAAGTATCTGTCTAGAAGCTGGTAGCCTCAGGTTTTCTGCTTTAATTTGGCCCTCATCCTACCATTGTTTTGCCTCAGGAATGCCCCTTCTAGTCAGGTGCTGGTGGCACATGCCTGTAGTCCTAGCTACTCGGGAGGCTGAGATCTGAGGATCACAGTTTGAAGGCAGCCTGGATGGGAAAGTTCATGGGACTCTTATCTCCAATGAACCACCAAAAAGCTGGAAGTGGAGCTGTGGCTCAAGTGGTAGAGTGTCAGCCTTAAGCAAACAAACCCTCTCAGGGACAACTAAGATCCTGGTCCTGGGTTCAAGCCCCAGGACCAGCATCCCACCCCCACTCCCACATCCAGCAAAAATCAGTGCTGGAAGCATGGCTCAGCAGTAAGAACATGAAAAACAAAAACAAAATAAAAAACAATAAGCACAACAACAAAAAGTGGGATATTCCCATCCCACAGAACTCCTGTGTAGTGACCATGACGGGGACACAGATGACCACCCCACTCACCATCTACTGGGGTGCAGGGCTCATACACTAGCCGGTAGCCCTCCAGGAGGCCGTTGGGGAACCGGGGGGCTTCCCAGGACACGTTTACCGAGGTCGTGGTCAGCTCGCTGAACTTGACTGAGCCGGGAGCGCTGGGGGCTGCGGACACAGCAAACGGGGTTTTGTTTCCTCTTTCTGAGCAAGTACAAAGCCCCAGGTTTGGCTCCAAGAAACTATGGGGAGTATTTTGGGTTTGTGCCCAGGGGGGAAGAGAGAGAAAGGACTTAGCCCAAGAACAAGGCCCGAGGGGCCACTGGAGGGCCCTGGACCCCCTCCTCTTCCTCTGTGATGTTGTTAGAACCCCCATTTCCAAAAGCAGCGTCCCAGGCCTTGGGAGAAAAGGCAAAATGCTCCACTTCTCCTGAAAGTTCGAGAACTTGGCCTTCCTCCTCCGTGGCTCGGAGCCCTGGCTGGCAGCACGGGACAGGCTGTGACACTCCAGGGTCAGCACAGGGCAAGGCCGTTTCCTGGCTTTGTGGAGTGCGCCTTTCAACCTCCCTGCTGCAGAGGGTGGGTGGGTGTGGGGGGGTCTGGGCTGCAGAACCTCACAAAATAAGAAAGCTCCAGAACCCCCGTGCCCCGGAGCCGGAGCCAAGGACACGAGGCCCTTCCACAAGAAATGTTTTGGTGGACTGAACAACCCTGTGGGGATCCTGAAAACATGGGGGGCCGGGGCCTCTGAGGGGGGCAGAGAGGAAGGACAGGAAGCATCCCAAGCTGGCCAGCTGGATGTCCAGGCTATTCTTGTCCGGCGCTGCCTCCCCACTGAGCCAGAGCTAATCTGGACCTGCTTCTGGCTCCAGCTCCGCAAAGGCCGTGTCGGGAGGGCGGCTCCGAAGGAGGGAGGTGAGCTCGGGGCCTTTCCTGCCTCCTGGGGATGGGGGTGGGGGCGCAAGAGGGACGTGGGACTGAACACTGTGTTCTGCTGCCCAAGTACCAGAAGCTTCCAGGCTCCCAGGGGCTTCTATCTGGAAGATGACATTGATGGCAGAGTAGGGACTGGCTGAGACAGAGAGACAGACAGACAGAGAGACTTGCACATCCAGACACTCCCACTTGACCTCAGCCAGACCCTGGGGAACCAGTGGAGGAAAAGGCTCCTAGAGGCCTGGACCCTGGGACAAACATCACTAGGAGTGATTCTGTAAGTTGGCTCTGTGCAGCGTGTGTGTGTGTATATGTGTGTGTGTGCGTGTGTGAACATGTATGCTGGGAATGGAGCCCAGTGCTCTACCACTGAGCCAAAACCCAGCCTTTCTTATACCACTATATCATTTCTAGGGAAGTGCGAAGGAAAGCCTGGTGGCTCATGCCTGTAATCTCAGCTACTCAGGAGACAGAGCTGGGGGAGGGGATGCAGTTTGAGGTCCCATTTCCACAACAAGAACAAGCTTGAATGTTGTGGCACACAGGCCATCCCAGATATGCAGGAAGTATAGATAGGAGGATGTAGGTTCAGGGTGAACTGGGGCAAAAAATGCAAGACTATATTGGAAAAAAAAGTTAAAAAATGCTGGGCTGGGAATGTGGCTTCGTAGTAGAGTGCTTGCCTAGCACGCATGAAGCCCTGGGTTCGACTCCTCAGTACCACATAAACAGAAAAAGCTGGAAGTGGTGCTGTGGCTCAAGTGGTAGAGTGCTAGTCTTGAGCAAAAGAAGCTCAGGGTCAGTGCCCATGCCCTCAGTTCAAGCCCCAGGACTAGCAAAAACAAAACAAAATGCTGGGGGAGTGGTTCAAGGGGTAGAGCTCCTTCCTAGCAAGTTCAGGGCCCTGAGTTGAAATCCCAGTAACACACACACACACACACACACACACACCACACACACACACACACGCCATCTCTAAGTGTCTTATAATACCAGATTTCATGCAGGGCAATATTAACACCCACACTCTAGTGTTTGAGAAGCACAACAAGATCTGTACATGTTCAGGGTAGATCCAAAAATTGTTGGAATATTTTTAACCCCTGGTTGGCTGAATCTGCTGACGTGGAATTCACTGACTGAGGGTCAGGTGCATTACAATCCACCAGGATAGAATTCTTGGTTCTCGGAAATTCTGGGTTTCTTCCTCTACTACCCAGTGACCCTCTGGGAGACGCAGGACACGATGCCTGCTTCTCAAGGTGACCTTTGCTTCTCCTGAAATGGGGGTGGTGCTGTCCCTTCCTCCCTCCCAGCCTGCCCCAGGGCCCCCTGGAGGTCCCCGTGCAGGGCTGGCTGAGAAGTGGTTTGGGATACCCCAGAGCTTGCTCTGTGCGTGGGTGAAGCAGGACTCCTCCCCCCACAACCCCATCTTGTTCTGAGCATGCGTGAGGCCATCGCTTCTCCCAAGTGCTCCTCTGTGCATGCGCGCAGGAGGATCTTTGGCTCCATCCTCTGTCCAGGCCCGGATCTAGCCTCCCTGCCTCCATCTTCCTCTCCCCTGGTCAAGCAGCCAGAGCAATCCCCCTGCCCAGACATAAAACTCGATCCTGTCACTCAATTGCTTAAACCTTACAATGGCTTCCTTCCTACTACACTTCAAAAAAAAACCCAAAAAAAAACAAAACCCCAAAAAACCCAACCCTTCTCACCCCATTTTCTTTCTTTCTTTTTATTTTTTTGTCAGTCATGGGGCTTGAACTCTGGGTCTGGCTGCTATCCCTCAGCTCTTCAGCTCAAGGTGAGCGTTCTACCACTCGAGCCACAGCACCACTTCCAGTTGTCTGTGGTTTCTTGGAGAAAAGAGTCTCACAGACTTTCCTGCCCAGGCTGGCTTTGAACCATGATCCTCAGATCTCAGCCTCCTGATTAGCTAGGATTACAGGCATGAGCCACTGGTACCTGGCTTCTCACCCTATTTTCTTATACGAACCTCACTTTCTCTCTGTTCCTCAAATCCCTTCCAGCCCCCAGACCTTGGCCCTTACTAGTCCCTCTACCCCACACCCTTTCTCTACCTCCATAACCTCTCATGGGGCTGCCACTTCTCATTCAAATCTCAGCTCCAATAACACTGCTTGGGTGAGGCCTTTGGGGGAGGACCCCCAACACTACCTCTCCCTGGGGTTATCCTTGTATCAAATGTCCTGGCTGCCTGTTTAGGATCTGGGCGCTTCACAAGGGTACCCCCACACCAAACACAGAATGAGTTCACAGAAAACAACAAATCAATATACATATAAATATAGCCGGGGGCTGGTGTCTCATGCCTGTAATCCTAGCTACTCAAGAGGCTGAGATCTGAAGATCATGGTTGAAAGCCAGCCCGGGCAGGGAATTCTGTGAGACTCTTATCTCCAAGTAACCACCAGAAACCCGGAGTGGAGCTGTGGCTCAACAAGGTAGAGCACTCGCCTTGAGCAAAAAAACAGATTAGGAATAGTGCTCAGACCCTGAGTTCAAGCTCCATGACCAAAATATACATATACATAAAACACACACACACACATACATACATACATAAAAACAAATGTGCAAAGATGGGGAGATAGGAGGAAGGAGGTGGAGCCAGGCCTGTCTCCTGGGGCTTGGACACCAGCCTAGATCTGAGCAGCACAAGGCTGCCATCTGCACTCTTCCCCAGGAGCCCAGACCCCAGGTGGGCTTCCGGCCCCTGCCTCCCTCCCCAGCCTCTCCCCACCTGCTTGCTGGGTCTGGCCCTGGGTGGGGGCGCTCCGTGGCCCGTCCCCCGCAGCGTTGAAGGCCGCCACGCTGACCATGTAGGTAGTGTAGCCAGTCAGATTTTTGAGTTTCACGCCATTCTCAGCCAGGAAAAGTGTCTTCACCCGTTCTGTGAGGTTCCCCCGCTGGGCTTCCCAGAAGAAAATCTGTGGGCAGAAAGGTCCACGGGGGGGGGGGGGAGGTTGAAGGGGCTGGGGACACAGTGCTTCCCTTCTGCTCCTGCCCGTCACCAGCCTGGGTCACCCAGGGAGCAGTATGGAAGGATCTAAGTGGTTTTAGAAACCTTTCCAGAACCTTCCTTTTCCTAGCCAGACCCAAGCCGCTGCTAGCCTGTAAAAGCCAGGAGGGCAGAGCCTCCATGTATCTTGTTAGTGCCAGCACAACAGCCTCAGAACACAGTGGTAAGCCGGGGGTCCATGCCTGTCATCCGAGCCGCTCAGAAGGCTGAGATCTGAGGATCATGGTTCAAAGCCAGCCATGGCAGGAAAGTCTGTGAGACTCTTACCTCCTATTTATTTATTCCAGTCCTGGCGCTTGAACTCAGTGCTTGGGCATTGTTCTGGAGCTGCTTTTGCTCAAAGATAGGACTCTACCCCTTGAGCCCTAGTGACACATCTGCCTATTTCTGTTTATGTGGTACTGAGGAGTGGAACCCAGGGCTTCATGCATGCTAGGCAAGCACTCTACCACTGAGCCACATTCCCAGCCCTATTATCTCTAATTAACTACCAAAATAAAAGCCAGAAGTGTAACTGTGGCTCATGTGTGGCTGTAGAGACTTAGCCAGGTGACTTTTCAGAGACACAGCTTTGTCATACATGGAGGGGGCTAAGGACACCTTGTCTCCCAGGTCAAGGCCATGGGGCTGAAGTTTTAGGAAGCAGCAGCTGCTCCACTGTGTTTTAGGGGATGTTAGACCCAGTGAGGAGAAGGCTCCACACCCTGGGAAGATTCAGAACTCTGAACTGAGGCCACCCTGAAAGTCTAATCTGCCCCAACCACATGCAAAATTAGAGGTTGTTTGGCGCCACCTGCTGTCCAAAGAGGGTTTCTGTAGGCTACTGGCTTCTCAATTTCTCTTCTCCTTTGGGGAAAGGCACAGAAAGAAAGGTAATGGAGTCCTTTTCCGACTCATGTGAATGCTGGTTAGGACATAAGACGTGAGAGGGTTGTTGTTTACAATCCTGCCTTTTTTTTTTTTCCAGCCTAGGCTGGCCTCCAACTGCAATCACCTGATCTCTGCCTCTCAGGTAGTTAGAAATTACAGGCTTACGCCACCCTTTCAGTTTAATTTTTTGAGACAAAATCTTGATAAATTGCCCAGGCTGGCTCTGAACTCGCAATCCTCCTATCTCCATCTTCTGAGTTGCTGGGATTAAAGGTAGGCTCCACCACACCCGGCCTTAATGTATTTAAACATTGTTTTCCTTTTCATCAGGAAGATTAAACCCAGGACCTTGCTCATGCTAGGCAAGTGCTCTACCATTAAACCACATCCCCAGCCCTAGGACTTGATGCTTTGATGCATGGCTATGATGAAACATCATCGTAATCCAGCTCATCAGCACAGCCCCCACCCTCATAGTTCCCCTTCCTTTTTCCTCCCCATTTTCTTTTCTTTGTGCTAGTACTGGGGCTTGAACTTTGGGCCTCATGCACTTAAAGCGGGGCACTCTACCACTTCAGCGACACCTCCACTTTTGAGTTTTTGCTGCTCAACTGAAGATAAGAGTTTAATGGTGGCTGGAAATGTGACTTAGTGGTAGAATGCTTGCCTAGCATGCATGAAGCCCTGGGTTCAACTCCTCAGTACCACATACACAGAAAAAGCTGGAAGTGGCTCTGTGGCTCACGTTGTAGAGTGTTAGCTTTGAGCAAAAGAAGCTTAGGGATAGTGCCTAGGCCTTGAGTTCAAGCCCCAGCCCTGGCAAAAAAAAAAGAGTTTACTGGTTTTGTCTGCAAAGGCTGGTTTTGAGCCTTGATCCTCAGATCTTAGCCTACTGAGTAGCTAGGTTTACATGCATGAGCCACCAGTGCCCAGCTACAGTACTCCTTACAGTCTTCACACTGTCTATTCTATCCCCAGGACTTCTGCCAGCAGCTCTCCATTTCTTCCAGTCCCTGGCAAGCACTCTTCTGCTCTCTGCTTCCAAGTTTAATTCTTTTATTTCATTTTTCCTGCCCTGTTGAAATCGACTCTTTTAGACTCATTGTGTAAGATCATCTAGCCTTTGTCTTTGTGTGCCTGGATTCTTTTATTATTGGAATGTCCTTGAGATTTATATTGCAGATGGTAGTTTCCTTTCGTACGGCCAAATAATATTGTATTGTGTACAAACATACACACCACCATTTTCTTTATCCACTTAACTATGGGCGAGCATCCGGGTGTTTCCGTATCTTGGCTGCTATGAGTCATGTTGCAGTGAACATAGAAGCACACATGTCGTCAAGATCTTGATTTCAATTCTTTTGGACAAATTCCTCGACAGGAGATTGCTGGATCACATGCATGCAGTTCCATTTTTAATTTTTGGAGGAGCCTTCCAGTCTGTTTTCAATTCCCACATGCAGCAGATATGAGTCCTAGTTTATCTGTGTCCCTTGTTATCTCTTTAGTGTGAGTGTGTATGTGTGTGTATTGGTCCTGGGTTTGAACTCAGGACCTGGGCACAGTCTCTGAGTGCTTTTGCTCAAGGCTGGTCCTCTACCACTTGAGCCACAGCTCCACTTCTGTATGTGTGTGTGTGGGGGGGAAGGTTAACTAGAGATGAGCGTATCATAGACTTTCCTGCCAGGTCTGGCTTTGAACCGTGATCCTCAGATCTTAGCGTTGTGAGTAGCTCGGATTCCAGGTGTGAGCCAGCAATGCGCTGGGCTGCTCTACTTCTCATGAAAGCAGAGCTCCTCCACAGCCACATCAGCACTCTCTACCTTGCCCGGCTCTCTCTTGGACCCAGTCCCCAAGTCCCTGAGCTCCTGTTGCTCCATGAACTCTGCTATGCACGTTCTGGAAAGGACTGGCTGTGCAGACCTCTCAGCATGCGCCCATGACTCAACTTTGTCCTCATGTGTAAGAGGAGCCACAGCAGTTCATACACAAACACGCAGGACTGTTACAATAGCACTTTTGTACAAAACTGTAACCCTAGCATCCAGGAGGCAGAAAGCAGGGCCATCATGAGTTCTAGGCTAGCAAGGGCCACAAGGTGGAATCCTGTCTCCAAAAACCCCAACAATAACAAACAAACAAAACTAAAAGCAGACCAACAAACAAAAAAAGGAAATGAAAAAGGTGGCGGACTGGATGGGGCCCAAGCTTATTCGTTTTGTTACGTTGCATCTTCACCCTGCTTCTAGCATGTCAAGGCCATTGGAGATGGCAGAAGCAGACTGGGTATAATTTTCTTTTCGCACCCCATTTGATAATTGCTCCCCAGATCACAGTTGCTCTGTCTCGCAATAGAAGCTGGTGATATAATTCTCCCATCTCCCCTGAAGCCCGCCCCTGGGCCCCCCTGGCTCATGGCTCACTGGTTGGCTTTGCTCCTGAGCTCAGATTGTCCCCCTCCGAAGACCAGCAGAGAGCATCAGGAGAGCCAAGTCTAGGTCTTACCTGCCCCACTTCCTGCCCTAGGCCTGGGCAGCTCCCTGGCCTTGAAGCTGGCCTCTTCCCACTCTCCCTGCCTCCCTCCTTCTCTCCCTCACCACTGCAGGGCCCATTCTACCAGCTCTCCCTCTGCCACGCCCCTGGCTGTGCCACCAAGGTGTCTTAAGAAGTTTGTTATTGCAGCCTAAGCTCCCGAGTGACCGCTAGAAGTTCAAGCCCCCTGGGTTTGCCTTGCCCAATCCCTTCCTGGGTGACATCTCCTCTGGATTCAAAGCCCTCCAAATGCCCCGCCCACATACTACTTTTCCCATTGTGCTCCCCCTTCCCCTCCACTCCTGGGACGTACAGGCATTCCAGACTACCCCAGGACCTTTGCATATGGAGACTTGTGACACCAGCTTTGTATTCCTTTAGATGTTTGCACACACATCATCTTCTATGAAGCCCTTTGGAGCAACCCTTGGGTCTAGATCTCCTGCCCCTAAACCTCAAGCCCGCATAGTCTCTTCTCTTATGGCTTCCTTCCCAGCACATAGGCACAAAGTAACTGCTCAAGCAACAAACAAACACGCACCATTGACTGCCTGAGCTGGGAGCTCTATGGCCGGCGTGTGTGTGCCTGTCTGGGCACTCGGCAGCTCAGCCTCACCCAGAGGCAAGCCTGGGCTAGCCACGCTCCCGGGTGGATGAGCGCGGGTGGGAATCGCACGGGTGTGCACGGGTCTGTGAGGCCCGCCCTGCCCCCCCTCACAGCCAGGTAGAGTGGATTGTTTCCGGAACCCCCTGGCATCTGCTGGGCTCTACGCGGTGCCTGTGCAACCCACACACTTCCTGGATCTGGATGTGAACTCGCCACTTCCAAACCTCGACAGTCCGGGGGCTGCCAAACTGTTGCCGGCTCCCTGGTGCCAGCCCTCTTCCCTCGGGAGACATATGCTAGTGTGCAATATTTAGTTTTCCCAGCTGGCGCTCCTGGGCAGAACCTCAAGGGTGCCATCCATCTTCTTTGCTTCTTTGGCAAGATGCCTGCCTTCTCCCTCCTGCTTCACCGTGGAAGGAAGAGGCTTCTGTACTGGATTCTGCTTTACCTGGAGGCTGCCTTTGTGGGGGGAGGAGGTGAGGGGCGGGAGCTTTAGACCGTGATTCTCCCTCTCTACCACCCGAGTAGCTGGGATTACAGGTGTGCTCAACTGTGCCTACTTGTGTTTGGAAGGGCTACCTGTTTTAATAGAGCAAGCATTTCCCATTGGCTGAGACTCAATTTCCTTCCATGGAATAAGGCCAGGCAAACCTGTGGGACCCTATAACTCTTACCCTAAACCACCCAGGGCCAATGCCCAAGGGTTCTTTTCTGGAATAGAAGCCAGTTGCTAGGAATCAGAATCTCCTGATCACTGGGTTGGGAGGAAGGTCCAGCCAGGGAGATACATCCTTTCTTCCTCCTTTTGTAAACCATTTGGGGGGCAGTGTGCTTAGCTTCTACTCTACCCATAGAGGGAAGCCAGAGAACCATTTTTTTTTGGGTGTCAGTCCTGGGGCTTGAATTCAGGGCCTGGATGCTGTTCCTGAGCTTTTCTTCTCAAGGCTAGTACTCTATCAGTGGAGCCACAGTTACATGTCTGGCTTTTTGATGGCTAAGTAGAGGTAAGAGTCTCACAGACCTTCTTGTCTGGGCTGGCTTTGAACTGTGATCCTCTGATCTCAGCCTCCTGAGTACTTAGGATTATGGATGTGAGCCACCAGCACCCAGCCAGAGAACTTTGTTCTAGTGCTCCACTGCCCGCCATTCTGTGGTCTCACTGGGAGACCTAAAGTGAATGTAAAGTGGGCATCCAGCTCCTGGGGCTTTTCAGAGGGTGCAGGAATTTCCGAGCACCCTGTGAATGTCCGGCACAGACCGCACCCCATCGCCACATATCCAAAAATCCAGAAACCACTTCTCAGCAGAGATTTCAGAAAACCAGGCCCATCTCATTAGCACCGGCATTGCAATCTGTAACTCCTTAGAGCACAGGTGAGGGGCGGGGCGTCGGCTCGCAGATGACATAAGAGTCCTGTGCCTGAGCTCAGGCTGCCCAGATGATGCTAGAGATGGTGACAGTCATTTTGCTCCAGCCGCAACGTAACTCTGTCACCTGGTGCCCACAGTCAAGGTGGCAGGTGTACACAGAACCTGAGGTGCTGGGGAGGAAGGGCCTGGGCCCCTCTTACCACCACCCAGCTCCCCCTGCCCTCCTTCAGACCCACATGCTCTGCCAGACCCTCGTACCTTGTAGCCCTGGATGTCTCCATTCTGACTGTCCAGCGGGGGTGGCTCCCACGTCACGTCCAGCTGTGTGGCCGTGGCACCATGGACGGCCACGTTTTGGGGTGCCGCTGTGGGCACTGGGGGACATAAAGGATGATGAGTGAATGGATTCAGGGAAAGGGAAGGGAAGGCGGGGGAGGGAGGGGACCTTGGATCCTGAGCCTCCCCTGGCTGGACAAGGCAGGCCCAGCTCACCTGCTTCCCCGACAAAGACCTCCTGCGGGGGGCTCAGGGGTCCCTCGCCCACTGCGTTGTACACACTCATGCGGACTTCATATCGTCTGTGCTTGTTCAGGTCTGGGGGTGGGGAGAGAAGGAGGCAGAGGTCACAGCTGGGCTGCAAGGAGCCATCGCTGCAGGGTAGAGGCTGTGGGGGAAGGGAAAGGCATCCGGGCAATTCTAGAACCTGCTTGAAGGGCAGGAGAGAGTGAGAGGTGGCGCCTGGGGAAGCCAGCCGGGATGGATGGAGGTGACACTGGTGCCCGCTTGGTCTAGGGTGACAATGACGTATTGCTCATTGGATACTCAGTTCTGGTCACCCTGGGCCGGGGGTTCAGGTCCTCCCTGCAATGGCTGACTCAAGCAACCCCAGTGGTGTCCCGCCCGTGGCCCCGTCCCAGTATTGTGTGTGTGTGTGTGTACACACACGCGTGCATGCCAGTACTGGGGCTTGAACTCGGGACCTCAACTTCTCACTTGATTTTTTTTTTCTACTCAAGGCTGGTAGCTCTACCACTTGAGTCATACCTCACTTCTGGCTTTTTGGTGGTTAAAATTGGAAATAAGAGTCTCATGGACATTTTCTGCCCAGTCTGGCTTGGATCTATGACCCTCAGATCTCAGCTTTCTGAGAAGCTAGGATTATAGTCATCAGTGCCTGGCGCGCCCAGTACTACCGCCCCACCACCCCCACCCCCACCCCCAACTTGTGTCTTGCTGCTGGAGATGGAATCCTGGGCTTCTCAAATGCCAAGCAGAAGCTTTACCATGAGCTGCGCCCTTCAGTTCCCAGCCACAGTGCGGCTCAGCCCTGGGGAGGGACTGAACAGATGTGAATTCTGAGGTAAGGCACCCCATGTTTTCACCAAGTTTGGGGTGACTGAAGGAGGACGCCTGGCGGAGAGAAGTCGAGGCAGCATCAGCCGGGGTGGGAGATGCCGTCCTGCTCAGGGTGGTGGGGGACCCCATTTTGGCGCTCTTCCCCCCCCCCCGCCTTCCCCAATCCCCTTCCCAGGGTTGTCTTGGGCAGGCATGGCTGAGGAGGGGAGAGGAATGTGGGTTAGATTTTAAAGATGTGGGCTTTCTGTTGCTCAGGGGTCCCCCGTGCAGTTCTGAGCAGCCGGAGGAAGCCCACTGGTGTTTTAGAACCAGAGTGAGGGTTCAGTGAGGCAGGCGGGGGCAGGGTGAGGAACACAGAGCTACAAATGCTCCCTGTAGGATGGGAAACACAGCTGGAGCCCGGGTGCCCATGGCTCACGCCTGTCATCCTAGCTACTCCGCAGGCTCATAGTTCAAAGCCAGCCTGGGCAGGAAAGTCCACGAGACTCTTATCTCCAAGGAACCACCAGAAAACCGGAAGTGATGCTGTGGCTCAAGTGGTAGAGCGCTCGCCTTGAGCTGAAGAGCTCACAGCGCTCAGGCCCAGAGTTCAAGCCCTACAGCTGCCAAAAAAAGAAACAAGAAACACAGCTGGGCCTCACATGCCTTGGATACAACGATCCGGGTCATAGTGATGTGGACACGCCCCTACCTGTCCTGCAGTGTCCTGAGCTCCCAACACCCACCTGCCCTCCCTTCCTCCCCACGCACACAAGGCTGTTTGATGTCCTCCTCCATCCTGCACCCACAGAGTGGACTCGGGGAGACTGCCGCTGGCATCAGCCCCCTGGGCAGTCCTGGTGGCCAAGCACCATGGGTGGGCCCAGGCCTCGGCCTGGGGCCAGGGGTTCTAGAAGACCCCCTCCCTATCCCAAGGAGGCCTGGCCAGGCTGGGCTGCCATGCAATGAGACTTACTGTCCAGCTCGTACTGCGTGAGGCTGGGCCGGGTCAGGTTCCGCATGGAGTACAAGGCTAAGGGGTGGAGGAGGCCGGGGCCAGAAGGAGACAGCAGATAGAGGTTAGTGCACGTGTCCCTCCCACGAGGAACCCCACCAGGGCAGGACGGAGCAATGCAGCAGGGGGAGGAGGGGCAGGCAGAGAGAAAGTTTCCAGTTCCTGGTGATGAGGTATGGTGGGGAGGGGAGGCGGGGATGGGGGTGGGGCTTGTCAGGACCCTGCTGCCCCTCCCAGGTGTGCACTGGCTCAGGGTCATGCGTGGGGGAGTCCCTCAGAGCCTCACAACCCAGGGCACAGCTCTGGGGATGGTCCCTTGTTTCAGTGTGGAGTTCTTGGCAAAGCACTGGGAAATAGTGGCATCATCAATTTCTTCCGATGAACTAGAAGTAATTTTACTACAGGGAAATGTGACTATATTACACACAGGCGAGATAAAATCACGAGCGCACAGACATATTGGCCTGCAAGAAGAATTAATTAAGTAAGAGGTGGGAAAAGAACTTGGATCAGGTGCCTCTGTGATTTTCTTCTAGCATTCCTTTGCTCTATTTCATCACTTGGTGATCTGCTAACACTCCCTGCAAGACAACTCTAATGGCTTGAAGAAAGTACTTGAATGTAAGGACTTGGCCTGTCCCTGAGCACCTTTGCTCAAGGCTAGTACTCTATCACTTTGAGCCACAGCGCCACTTCCAGTTTTGTTTTGTTTTTTTTTTTTCTTCTGGTGGTTAATTGGAGAGAAGAGTCTCATGGATTTTCCTTCCCCAGGCTGGTTTTAAACCGTGATCCTCAGATCTCAGCCTCCTGAGTAGCTGAAATTACAGGTGTGAGCCACTGGCGCCCAGCTCCCTTAGCTTTTTAAATTTAAGATTGGTGCTCTTATCATTTGAGCCACATATCCACATATCTGGCTTTGTGTTGGTTAATTGGAGATGAGAGTCACCTTGGATTTGTCCTTCCTGGTTGTCTTTGAATCTCAATCCTCAGATCTCAGTGTCCTGACTAGCCAGAAACCTGACAGGCCTGAAACCACTAGTGCCCAGTTCTGCCCTGGTACCTCTGCTTCCTCCCCGTGGAACCAGCCTTGTGCCTTCGCCTGGCTGACCTGGTGCCATTCGTCAGGGTTAGTGCCAAGGCCAAGGGGTGTGCATGTGTTTCTGACATTCCTGGGGATGCCACACTACCAGCCCTAGATACCTGCTCCGGTGTGTGTCTCAAACACCTGGCTCCTCTGGTGTACAAGCTCAAGAAGGGAGGGGCCTGTGCTCCTGAGCACTGTGCACCCCAGTGCAGGCCGAAGGTGCTGAGTGAATGCTTGGCAAGTGAGCAAATGGGATGGGATGGGGTGGGGGTGGGGGGCGCAAGACACACGCAAGGGAGGGAGGAAGGCAGAGCCACTGGTTAGGATCCCAGGAACCTGGGAGCTTCAGAGCAGGGAGATGAGCACGCCTGCCTCAACTTCATTGTCACTCACGGGTGAGCTCCGCCCACTTGGTACCTAGGCCCACTCTCCTCAGTCCTTCAGAGTGTCATTCATAGGTAAGCCCCGCCCACTCTGTGCCCAGGCCCATCCTCTCCAGTCCCCCCCCCAGTGTCACTCACGGGTGAGCTCCGCCCACTTGGCTCCAGGGTTGTTGATGCCTCGAAGAGTGAAGCCCCTCAGCCCTTCCAACTGCAGCTCCCGGTACCGGATTCGGAAGCCCAGGAGGATGCCGTTGATCTTATCCTCAGCTGGCGGCTGTAGGGAAGGAGGTGGAACATGGGGCCCTGACCACTGCCCACCCCAATGCACCCTCTCTCTCCACCAGGCCTCCTATGGCCCCGGAGTGAGACTGTGTCCAAATCAGGATAGCAGGGATTACTTTTAGTTCACAAAGCACTTCCAATCAAGCTCCTGATGGGTAGGAATCACCCTGCAATCCCTGTTCACCAGAGCAGGCAACAGGCTCAGAGAGGCTCAGGTATTTGCTGTAGTCACACAGCAGAACTGAGTCCTAGGAACCTAACTCTGGACACATTTCCTGGATCCCATGAACCCAGTCCTCTCCCACCTAGAAAGCACATAGGAGGGTGTGTGTGTGTGTGTGTGTGTGTGTGTGTGTGTATGTGTGTGTGTGTGTGTGACCCTGACTTCCTCCTCTCCTTTGCTTTCTGATCTCGTCCACAGCTGAGGGGGAGAACAGACTTCAGGAAAAGGTGGGAAGTACTTTTATGATACGTCTTAAAAAAAAAACCCTGCTGAAGCTGTTCTGGCTTTTATTAGCTCCTTAATTGCTTCCTTGGGTATAGTGTCCTCTTAGTCTGCTGGAGCAGACTGTGTGTGTGGCTACAGCAGGTCAGTTCTAGTTATTTAGGGGGTGTCTCCCCAGACAGCCTGGGCCTCAGCGGCACTGGGCAGGGGCTGGGTCCCGTGTGCCCCCCCCTTCCCCCGATCCTGAGAATCAGGGACTCTGGCTGCTCTGGGGCCCTGGTGGGTGCCCCGCTGAGTTCAAGGTCAGGCCTCAGAGGGCACAAGGGCAGTGTCCTGTCCCTAGGTCCCAACAGCACAGGAAGCGGAAGTATCCATTAGCCAAAGAGAGGGAAGAGGTTCTGCCAGTCAATGGGTTCCCACTCCTGGTGATGGGCACAGGTCTCTATGAGGAAATCCTGTACACACGGCTGGGTCTGGACTCAGTGGTCCCAAGGGTTCAGTAGACCTGACACCGGTGCTAAACCTGGCACCGCCAATCACACATGAGCTGGGAAACGTGGGACCATCTGAGACCCTGCCTGAGTCTGTGCTCGTGGGCGGCAGGGGTGCTGACAGCTGCCTGGTGTTCGTATGGGGATGTGGTACAGGTGTGTGTGTTTACCTGATTCTAGAATATTCTACCGCCAAACACACCCCAGGATTTCCCATGCCCTCCCTTGTGCTTTGCAGTGGAGACTCTGGATCTAGGCGGCCCTGCCGGGGTTCTCTGGTCCCAGTAAGAAGCTTTTCAGCTTACCTGCCATCGGATTAGCACAGAGGTGGTGGTATGAGGGGTCACGGAGAGGATGGTGGGTGCTTCATCAGGGGCTGCAGAGAGAGGCAGGCCAGGGAGGGGCTTGAACGCTGGAGCTTCCTCCCCACCCAGGAGTTCCCTCCCCCTCCCCCACCGTCCCTGATTCTTCAGACACCACACTGACAGCAGGTCCCACGGAACTCACCCCAACCCACCTTCTGCAGAGCAGAGGGCCAGGGTGGAACAGAGACCCGAGGGTCCCCGAGTCCCTCCCTCTGTCCCTCAGAGCCGCAGGCCTTGTTCGGCTGCTCTGTGGGGGCTGCCCCCTCTCATTCCCTGGCATTTGGAGTGACACAGAGAAAAGCTGCACTCGAATGCCAGGCTAGATCTGGGGCACCCGAGCCCCTGGGCAAAGGCCCCATGGGCCCAAATCTCTCGGGAACGGTGCCCTAGAGGGCGATGTCCATTCCTGTTCAAGGTCCCAGGACACCAGGTGTCCAGGAAGCAGCCAGGGACCACGAGCAGGAGACTTGAGTGTGAGAGAGTACTGACCGGCCTGCAGGGTGGTCAGCGACTCGGATTCCTCGCTGAACTCGCTGTCCCCGATGTCATTGGTGGCCTTCAGGCGGAACTTGTAGGATGTGAAGGGCTTAAGCCTGTGGAGGGAAGTAGCAGGGGGTCAATGACAAAGGGGCCCATTAAGTCTCAATATGTAATGTCCTCATCACAGGCCTCTGTGGTGAAGGTGATGTGGTTCCCCAGTTGGTGGCGCTGTTCTCAAGTAAGTGGTGGGGGGGGCGGGCAGTGCTGGCTACTCAGGAGGCTGAGATCTGAGGATCACAGTTTGAAGCCATGCTGGGTAGGAAAGAGTCTCATCTCCAATTAACCAGCAGAAAAGCTGGAAGGGGAGTTGAGGCTCAAGCGGTAGAGTGCCTGCCTTGAGCAAAACAAAACCACACCAAAAAAGCGAAGTAAGCATGCAAGGCTCTGAGTTCAAACCCCTGAACAGTGCCTGCTTCTCGTAAAAATAAGCCATAGGTCCCCAGGAGTCCAGCAGCCACGAGAGCACCTGTCTCTTCCAACAACTCCATGACCCTCCCCTGGAGCAAGGTGAGCTGCCTCTCCAGCCTCTAGGGAATTGGGGGGGGAAGGGAGGAAGGGGGAGCTCCCAGGGGAGAACCCAAAGGGTCTCCCTCCCCTCTTAGCAAATGTCTTCCTTCTTGATTCACCAGGGTGGCGGAGGGGGAGGGGAGGGAGGAAAGGATCACTCAAAACTACCTGCTCACGTCAACTGGAATATATATATATATATATATATATATATATAAAATGTATAAAATGCCACCAGCAGGGATTAAATTGAAGGCAGGATTTCAGAGAAGCTGCATACCCCGATTAAAGAAGATGCTGGCTGGCTGGGGAGAATCCTTAATGAAGGACGGGGAGCTCTTCACTAAAGGGGGACAGCCAGACTCCAGGAATAATTAGGAGCTGGCCCCAGTGGCGCTCCCAGGGAGGTGGGGGAGGGAGAGAGGGAGACTGGGGTGGAGCTGGAGGAGGGGAGTGGGTGAGAGGCCTCCCGTGTGGGGAAGCAGAGCAGGATTTGGGGGTCGTGCTGAAGCCTCTGGACCCTCACCCAGGGACCGCTATAGGGGGTGGAGAAGCTCACCTGTCCACGATGAAGGTGGAGGCGTTGTGGTTCACAGAGGCCGAGTGGAGCGCCCACTTGCCCCCGGGCAGCTCTCTGGTCTGGACGGTGTAGTACCGCACGGGGGACAGCCCATCGCTGCCTGGCTCCCAGGACAGAAGCACGCTGCGGGCCTTCACGTTCTCCTGACGTGCCACGGGCTTGCTGGGGGGCTGGGGGCGGTCTGGGAGGCAGTGTGGGGAGGGTGGCAGGTGAGTCGGGTGGAGACAGGGCCGGACTTTCCCAAAGGGGTGGGGGAGAGGGTGCCCAGGGTACCCAACCTTCCCTACCCCACTTCTACGCATACAGCCCTTGTCTAGGCTCTGCCAACAGCCTGTACCCGTGTCTTCTGGTCAGCGATCTACCCTCAGCCCAACAGGCCGGCCCCTTGGCTCCTGTACTCCAGGAGCTTGGATCAATTGATTCTAAGGGGGTGGGTTGGGAGTTCTGGGGCAGCTTTTCTGGTCTCCATTAACTCAGTACCAGGAGCTCCTTCCCCTAAGACATTACCCAGCATCCTCTAGGGGGCAAAGAACCAGTAGTTTCTGGTTCTTCTCGGGAACTTTTCCCAACCAATTCCTTTCATATCCACCACTGGGGACTCAGGTCTGGGCACCCTAGGTGCCAGCTCAGGGGCAGTAGGGCAGAATATGCCAGAACTCCAGGGTGAAGCCCAGAACTGGCAACCAAGGCCCTGGACAAGGCCCTGGGTTGGGAGGGAGAGGGAAGAGGTGCTCATTCTTTTTTTTTTTTTTTTGGTCAGTTGTGGGGCTTGAACTGAGAGGCCCAAATGCTGTCCCCATGCTCTTTCATTTAAGGCTAGCACTCTACCACTTGGAGCCACAGCTCTACTTTTGGTTTTCTGGTGGTTCATTGGAGATAAAGAGTCTCATGGATTTTCCTGCCCGGGCTGGCTTTGAACCACAATCCTCTGATCTCAGCCTCCTGAGTAGCTGGATTACAGGTAGGAGCCACCGGTGGCTGGCTCATTCACCACCTTTCTATGGAAGAAACCAGAGCCAAGTTGGGTCCTGAGGTAGAGAACCCCAGCTTAACTCTGGAAGTCGACTACACCTCTCACTGACCTCAGCTCGAGAAAGTAGAGCCCCCTTTCATTCCAGACCAGATCAGAGCGATGGATTCCTAACCAACTGCTCTCAACAGCCAGCTAGGAGAGGCACAGAGCACCGTGTTGGCAGGGAGGGGCCCTCGCTTGCTTCTAGGCCTCCCTGGGTCCCACAGGAAGTCACCTCTCTTCTCGGTGGTCACCACCAGGGCCTCGGCAGCCTCCCCCCAGCCTTTGCGGGTCTGGGCCGTGATGCGGAAGAGGTAGACGGATTCTGGCTTGAGGCTGGTGGCCGTGTACTGGCGGGCGCTGGGTGCCAGCACTTCCACAGCGGCGGTGTTGGCCGTGGTGGCGTTGAGTCGGTGCGTGATCTGGTAAGCTGGGAGGAAGGAGGGGGAAGGGCAGCCATGGATGGTCACACTTCTGTTCTTAGATGCACTTGGGGAAGGTGGACTGTGAGGGGTGCGTATGGGGGCTCAACACACAGCATCTGCAACCCCCCCATGTCAGGCCAGTGAGGAGACTGAGGCAGGCAGAGACCAGCAGAGCCCACCAGCAAGTGGCTGAGCTGGAAATCCTGCCTAGGGCTTTCTAGTCTAAAGCTACTAGCGTCCCTGTCTCTCTGTCTTTTGGGTGTGTGATATTCCTTCAGGACAGACAGGATAGGAGAGCAGAACTCAGAGCTCTAGAACAGGGGCTACCCTTCCTGTGTACATGTGCCTGTGTTCTCTATGATATCATTATTCTCTATAATATTATATATTATTGAACTGAGATCCTCAGATCTCAGCCTGCTGAGTAGCTAGAATTATAGGTCTGAGCCACCAGCATCTGGCTATTTTTAACTTTTGAGACATGGTGTTTTTACGTTGCTCACAATTGTCTTCAAAACACCTGGGTATAAGTGAGCTTTCTGCTTCAGCCGCTCAGTAAGCTGGGCTTACAAGTGGGTGCCAACATGCCCGGCTAAGCCACTGTTTCAAAGATGAGGGGCTGATGCTGGGGCAGGAAGCAGGCTTGTTCAAGTTCACATAGTGGCTACCTTCAGCTTGGATGTATATCTTGGGGGAATTCAAACGTAAAGCTAATCACCCTTCTGATTCGCAGCCTTCTCCCTGTGTCATGCGCCCTCTTTTGGTCCCACTATGGAATAGCTGTTGGGTCTACCAGATGGCCTGCTGGCTGGAGATACTTGGGAGGCACAGAGTCAGCCAATGGTGCTTAAGAGATCTGCACCTTGACTTTGCCCTGCTGCAGATAATGTTACAGGCTGGAACCTCCAGCAGGAGAAATAGGACTCAGATCTCATCGTTAAGGAGACACCTCCCGGGGGTATACCCCATCTCAATTGCAAAGTTCGGTGCTACTTCCTCCTTCCTGAGACCCAGAAAAGGGCTCAGACTTACCCAAGATGATGCCGTTAGGGGCTGTAGGGGGCTGCCAGATGAGCCGCACAGATGTGGTCCTCACCTCTGGGAACAGGATGCCCATGGGGGGGCCTGGAACTGGAGGGGACAGAGGGCAGGGGATGATGGGGGGGGGGTAGGGGCACTGCTCAGCCTCAAGCCTCAGCTCTGTGGAGTGGAGGAGGCGGGGCCACTCAGCTCAGAAGGTGTTTGTGGAGTGGTGTGCTGCGTCTGGTGCTGAGTTAGGAGCAGCGACAGGAAAAAATGACAACCAGTGAGTTATCTACTCTCAGAATTATCTCCCCCTACCCCTCTACCATAGGCTCCAGGCTTAGAACTTAGCTGTGGGTCTGGGCTTTATTGAGCGGCTTGAACTCAGTGCCTATCATCTTGGCTACTCAAAAAGGTCTCAACCTTTGGAGTAGCCAAGATGAGAGGCATGAACTACATTGTTTTTAGAAATCGTTGTATTTGTTGCAGGGCTGGGGATGGCACCCAGGCTTTTACCCTTGCTGGATCAGTGTTCTCCCACTGAGATGCATCCCTCACCTGGTCTGTGCTTCCCACCACATGGGTAAGATGGTGCCAGGTAATGGAAGTACCTACTCAGAACCTGCATGACCCCTCTTTTCCAGAGTTCACTCTGTACTTCTAGGGTCCTGGGAGGCCCATTCCCAGACAGCCCCAGCCATCCTTCCAGAGTCTGGATGAGCCCGTTATTTCTCAGATCTCCCTATATCTCCAAGGGTAAGCTGTGTGCCCCGGGACCAGAGATAGCCCTCAGGGGTGTGGACAGATGCTGAATGGTGTGGATGGAAAGAGTGGATGGGAAGCAGAAGAAGAGGCGGTGGTGGGGGGGTGGTCAGTTCTGGTGTGGGTGGGAGCTCATCCTGAGATACGCATTCCAGCAGAGAGCCCCAAGGAGTCTGAGATTTGCAAATGCAAACGTGGCCTTCTAGGTCATTATACAGCAGGAGGCTCGAACATATTTAATTTAACACTTCATTAACTTGATTTATAGCTTTAGAATATATAGACATGTGGTATTTGGCCTTCCTTCTGCATTTCTATCTGGACTCATAAATGTTTGTGCTGGGCAGGAGGCGGAATGGCATGTGGGGTGAAGGAGGGACACTAGGCCTGTAGGTCAGCTTGTGTCTGGGAGTCTTGCTGTAATGGTAAAGGTGGAACTCAGCTGTGCTGGTCTTGTGCACACAGGACCAGGAGGCTCATGTCCAATAATCCAGAATTTACCCACCGTGAACCTGTCTCTGGTGAGCACCAAGTAGAAACTGGTGAAAAGTCCCTGGGTCATTCACTCAACCTACTGGGGCACCAAGAGATGGAATGAGGAACACACAGATGGTTTTGTGGTTGTTGTGGGTCATGGGGCTTGAACTCAGGGCCTGGGTGTTGTCTCTGAGCTTTTTCGCGCAAAGCTAGTGCATTACCCCATTGAGCCATAGCTCCACTTCTGGTTTTCTGGTGGTTAATTGGAGATGAGAATTTCATAGACTTTCCTGCCCGGGTTGCCTCGAACCACAATCCTCAGCCTTGTCTGGGATTACAGGCATGAGCCACCAGCACCCAGCTCACACAGACTAGATTAGAGATAATAGTCTGACAGGCTTTCTTATCCAGGCTGTCTTTGAACCTCGATCCTCAGATCTCAGCCTTTTGAGTTGCTAGGATCACAGGCCTGATCCACTGGTACCAACTTTGTTCTTTTTCAATAAGCCAGCACCAGACTATTATCTCTAATAACATCTCCTTGTCCAGGGGATGGGATTTCTGAGGGACCACAGGAGGATCAGGCAGGTTATGATGCCAGAGGGAGCTGCCAGGCGGGACGAAAGGCAAAGCAGGTCGAGGGGCAGGCCCCTCCTGTCTTCCCTGGCCTTGCCGGCATTTGGACTTACCATCATCCAGCGTGCGCTCCAGGACGGGAGGGTGGCTGGGGCTGCCGTCTCCGATGCGCGTGAAGGCCAGCACACGGACCTCGTAGAGCACATACTTGCCCAAGCCCGTGAGCTGGGCACTGCGAGACGAGTTGCCTTCCACCAGCCAGTACTTGGGTTTGGCATCTGAATCCTTCTCCTTATACACCACCTGCCAGGCCCAGCACAGGGGAGAGCCTCAGCCCTGGGTCCCCTCCCCCACCCTTCCCCAGCTAGCACCTGTCCTGAGTCTCATTCAAGACTGGAATGGGGGTGTGTGGAGTAGGCAGACTTGGGCTCACTGGTATCCAAGGGGACATGGGGTAATGCAAAGCTAGTGATCATGGCGGGCAGGCGTGGAACACAAAGGTAGACTTAGCTAGGGAACCGGAAGTGCCCTTAGGGCACATTCAGGTGGAAGGCAGGTGGGGGAAGAGAACAACACTTGTTCAAAGTCCCAGAGCTGATGGTGGCAGAGCCTAGGACAGCAGCCCAGTTCTAAGCCAGGGCTGGACGTGTGGCTAGCCATGTCTTTAAGATGAATTCTAGAAAATACTGGGAATGAAAACAGGACCCATTAGGACTACGGGGCCACCCAGCATGGACTCCTGCAGGGTCCAGCAAGGACCCTGACCTGACTTTGGGGCCTCTCTCTCCTTTTTTATTTTTATCGTGCCAGTACTAGGCATAAAATACTTGAACTCAGGGCTGGATGCCATTCCTCAGCTTTTTCACACAAGGCTGGCACCCTACCACTTGGCTCACAGCTCCACATCCAGCATTTTGCTGGTTAATTGGAGATAACAGACTTTCCTATTCACGCTGGCTTCCAACCACAATCCTCACAGTCTCAGCCTCCTGAATAGCTAGGATTACAGGCATGAGCCACTAGTACCCCACATCATCTCCCTATCCTTGAAGGAGGCTTTTTCTTTTTGGTTGTGGGCTGGAGCTCAGGGCCTGGGTGCTGTCCCTGAGCATTTCTGCTCAAGGCTAGCGCTCTACCACTTTGAGCCACAGTGGCACTTCCAGTTTTCTGGTGGTTAATTGGAGATAAGGGTCTCACGGGCTTTTCTGCCTGGGCTGGTTTTGAATCACGATGCTCAGATCTCAGCCTCCTGAGTAGCTAGGATTATAGGTGTGAGCCACCATAAAAGAGGTTTTGGGGATGGAGTTATTTGCTACGTGGTTGGTGGGCAGGAAGCCGGCGGATTCCCCCATGTCTTCTGTAGGAGGCAGAGACCCAGCAGGTGACGAGGCCAGGGAGCCCACCCCCCACCTCTGATGCTGAGACCCACCTTGTAGCCCAGCACGAGCCCATTGCGGTCGGCCTCGGGGATCTCATTCCAACGCACCAGCATGCTGCTGGACGTGGTAGCCAGTGCAGACACGTTGGTGGGGCCAGAGGATGGGACTGTGGGAGACAGGGGTGGGGAGAGAAGGATCTGAGGAGCCCAAGTCCACCCTGTAGGGGAATGAGGTGGAGCAGGGAGAGGAATGCGGTAGGAATCAGCTCCGTGTTCCCTGCTCTATGGAAGAAGATGGCAGAGACGGGCCCCGAATTCTCCTACACAATGTCTTTGGGTTTTGGAATGCTTTGCCTCTCTCATTATTCTCTGTGTAGCCTAACTTTAGATGATGAGTTAGCATTTCCTGCCAGCACTGCAAGGGGGGGTGGAGCTGGGGACTAGCGAGGGCCATCTGTCATTTTTTTTCTTTCTTTTTGAGGGTACTAGGGGTTGAATTCAGGGCCTGGTACTTGCTAGGCAGGCACTCTACCACTTCAGACACATTGCCAATCCTTTTTGCTTTAAGTTTGTGTTTCAGGTAGGGTATTGCACTTTTGCCCGTATTAGCCTTAGACCTCAACCTCCTACTTCTGTTTTCAGAATAGCTGGAATTATAGAAATGTAATCCAATGCCTGGCGTTTGTTTTTGTTGGTTATGGGGCTTGAACTCAGGGCCTGGGTGCTATCCCTGAGCTCTCTTGCTCAAGGCTAGCACACTACCACTTTGAGTCACAGCTCTACTTCTGGTTTTCTGATGGTTAATTGGGTCTTATAGACTTTCCTGCCTAGACTGGCTTTGAATTGTGGTCCTCAGATCTCAGCCTCCTGAGTCATCAGGATTACAGGTGCGAAACACCAGTGTCTAGCTGGCCTGGCTTCTTTTGAGATAGGATCTTGCTAACTCTTTTTTTTTGTCAAGGTCAGCCTTGAACTGTGAGCCTTCTGTCTTTGCCTCCTAAGAGGTAAGGATGACAGGGGTGAGCTACCACACCCAGTCCTCTGTCTGTCATTTTAAAAGTGACTGGAAAAATCCGTAGGGCATTGGGCCACATGTGGATAAATGAGAGCTGTTTCTGGGTTCACAGTCCATGGGTGAACAATGACCAGGCCCCAGGAAGGTTTCTGGAATGTTCTGAGAGTGCCCCCCCCCCCCGAAACTCCATCTCAGATTCCTCAGGAACCACTGGTATTGGGTTAAAGCAAGGACAAATAGGAGCCAGTTTTGCAAAGTTGAACAGCTTGGCTACTCCAGAGTCTCTGATGGTGAGAACAAGGGCAGGAATTGGGGGACAGATACTAGGAGACACCATAACGTGGCAGGAAGTTCCGCCATGGCTGAGCAAGCTGCTCAGACTGTCTTTGGAGACTGGACGCAGCCTCCGGTGCCCCTGGATGGCTCTGGGGGCAGACAGACAGAGCGGTACCTGACTCCCGGGTCCTGCCCACCACCATCGGGCTCCAGGGCCCACTCCCGATGGCGTTGAAGGCCTGGACCTGGACGCGGTACTCCGTCCACTCCTCCAGGTCCTCGATGGTGTATTCCCGCTCCACGCGGTCCTGGACCACGTGGCTCAGCGTCTTGCCGTGGCCATCTGATCGGCTGTACTTGATCTTGTAGCCCACGGACTCGGGGTTCCCATTGTATTCCATCTCTGGGAGAGGCTGCAGAAGGCAGGGGGAGGGAGGTGCTGGGAGGGAGGCTGCCCTGTGCCCGAGGGAATGCCCAGGATGGAGTGGGGCTGTACCACCTCTTCCTGGGGGCTTTCAGGAAAACACACATAATCCTGATCTGTGAGACTGGTTCCAGAGCCTGCCGGCCCCTCCCTGGCCTCTTCTACCTTAGCAGCTCTGTGACTGAACATGTGCCGAGCTGTGTGTTCATGGGGCAGCGGGGGTGGGGGGGTGGAGGTGGGGTGGGGGAGGAGTGCCTAACCTCCCTGAGCCTCAGTTTCCTTAGCTGTGACAATGTGTCTTGTAAATTTCCTAGGAGAAGCAAACAGGATGGGACATTCACACATTGAAACCGCTTGGCACTTGGCAGATAGCGATTTCTAGCCCTTACTGTCAGGTGGTACATTTGATTCTTCGGCCACAATCTGCTACTAGGCATTTCAACAGAGAAGTAATGAAGAAAGCAAGGAAAAATTTAAAAAAGTATGCGTAAAGAGAAAGAAGCGCAGCTGCCTGATGGGTGTGTGCTATCTTTGAGGTGTGGGGCAGCCAGGATATGGGGATGTCCCACCCCACTTCCTCCAGGGAGCCTCACCATCCAGCGAAGCCACAGGCTGGTCTCACTGGCCGTGCGCAAAGTCACATTGGCTGGGGCCATGTCTGGGGGTGCCTGGAGAGTCTGGATCTTTCTGGAAGGCTGACTGGGTGGGCTGGTGCCTACGATGTTCACCTGGCGCATGCGGAAGCTAGGAGGGGATGAACAGGGTGGTATGAGGGCTGCCAAGGCCAGCCCTGCCCCTGCCCCTGCCCCAGGGGGCAGCTACCACCCACTGCATGGAGGGGGGGAGGTCTTACCTGTAGTAGGTGAAGGGGTTGAGGTCGGGTACTTCCATGGAGCGGGCATCTGGCTCATTGCTGAGTTGGTGGATCAGCAACCATTCCTCTCCCTCCCCGATCACGCCCACCTGGAGAAGGGGGACCCTTAGATCTGTCCAGTCTACAGGGCTCAGGTGGGATGTTCTCAGCCCAAGCTCTTAGGAGACGGTAGCCCTGACCAGGGAAGGTCTTGATCTAAATCTCAGGGCTCAGCAAAAGGATACCATCTTTCTGTGTCCTTACAGGTGATTGCAGGTGTGACTCTGAGCCCTTCCTACATCAAAACCCCCAAGGAATGCTGGGCACCAGTGGCTCACACCTGTAATCCTAGCTACTCAGGAAGCTGAGATCTCAGGATCGTGGCTCGAAGCCAGCCTAGGCAAAAAAGTCCCCAGGAGATTCTTATCTCCAATTAACCACTCAAAAAACTGGAAGTAATGCTATGGCTCAAGTGGCAGAGTTCTAGCCTTGAGTACAAAGAGGCTCAGGGACAGCGCCCAGGCCATGAGTTTGAGCCCCACAACCAGCCCCCCCAAAAGGCAAAATAAAACAAAAACAAAAACAAAAAACTCAAAACAACCAAACCCCAAGGAATTCTGCTTCTAAATCTAATCCCAGGCCCTGTGCCAGACTCAGCCAGTCAGGGCAGATGCTAGACCCAGCCAATTAGAATCCCTGGGCTTGGGACCAGGCTCTATGATAGATGCAGCCAATCAGAATCCCTGAGGGGGGGGGCAGGGTAGAAACCTGAGTCAGACCCAGCCAATCAGAATCTCTGGGGGGAGGGTATAAGAATCTATGTTAGACATAGCCAATCAAAATCCCTGGGGGGGGGTTGGGGCCAGGAACCTATGGGTGCAACAAACTCCACTGTCCATCAAACCGGCTAAATCTGAAATTCTGGGTGTGGAACATAGGTGTTGAATTTATTTATTTATTTATTTTGGGTCCGGTCGTGGGCCTGAACTCTGGGCCTGGGCGCTGTCCCTCAGCTCTTCAGCTCAAAGCTAGTGCTCTACCACTTGAGCCACAGCGCCACTTCTGGCTTTTTGTTTATGTGGTGCTGAGGAATCGAACCCAGGGCCTCGAGCATGCAAGGCGAGTGCTCTACCACTGAGCCACCTTCCCAGCCCAGGTGTTGAATTTATGAGTGCTCCCTGACAATTCTGGGGTGCAGAATTGAGAGCTACATGGTTAATTAAGATTCAGGGCAGCAGCTGACTGTTTTCAAGCAATAAGCCACTGCTGAACCCTGGGGGGCGGGGACTGGTAGGGGTCTTCTCATGTGCATGGACAGGTGAGGTGCCCTGGAGACAGGGAAGGAGCTGTAGGCATTTGGGGTATATAGACAGACCCCAATTTACCATGGTTTGACTTAAAATACATTTGAAGTTTTATACTAGTGTAAAACTAACAGGTATTCAATAGAAACACTTGATGGTAACTATTCTTAGCCATGCAGGAGGCTGAGATCTGAGGATCGCCAGCCCAGGAAGAAAAGTCCATGAGACTTTCCAACCAATCAGCCTAAAAATAGGATGTGGAGGTGTGGCTTGAGCCATGGAATGCCAGCTTTGAACAAAAAGGCTAAGCCAGATTGTGAGGCCCTGAATTCAAGCCCCCATACAGGTGCATGTGCACACGTCTGCATGCACACCCCCCCAAAAAAAGCAGTTCTAACTTAGGTTATTTTCAACTTGCAATGGATTTACTAGGATGTAGCCTCATTCCACGGGGCGCAGCACTAGTATGTGCTCACACTCACTGAACGCCCACTCTTTTTCTTTTGTATTCAGGGTTACCCGTCTGCCCAGCGCTGAGGCAGCAGTAGGGGGCAGGGTCTGGATCCAGCGCTCCCCTCTCCCCCACAGAAGGTTTTTACCTGGGCTTCCACCAGCCAGCGGGAGATGGAGGTTTTCCCGTCATAGCCAGGTCTGAACTGCAAGGTCACGGAGCGGGGGCCGATGTTAGAAATGCCCAGGTTGGTGGGGGCACCTGGGAGTTCTGGACAAGGAGAACAGGGCAGGGAGATCAGGTGAGAATGATTCCACATGGCACCGGACTTTGGGGGCACAAAAGGGGAGGCTCAGTGATATCCCAGCACAGGCTCAGCCAAGTCCTCGTGTGCCAACATTGGCTTTGAACCTGTGTCTTACAGAGAGCCAGATTCATACGAGGAGGCTAAGATAGATTTGGGGGCTGAGGGCACCTTTCAGGGCCATGTAAGCCAGAACTCCCCTGGGCAGATTTGGGTGTGAGAGCAATGGCGCAAGATCACACAAACCGCAGCTGGGCTGGAGAGAAATCAGATAGGTTCCATTTTCCTCTCCATCCACACAGCCCCCTTATAGCCCTCCCATTGCATGCCCAGTCCTGGCTGGAGGAGAGAGAAAAGGAGGCACCTCAAGGCGCTTAGAGGCTCGGTGTGAACAGGAAGATCAACCATTCTGGAGTTTTACTGTGGAGTGTGAATCTAACTCCACTCTTCAGAGGCTGTGTATCTTTGGGTAAGTTAACTACTCCCCTGTGCCTCAATAAAATGGAGATAATAACAACAACACTGACCTCAGGGTTGTTGTAAGGATGTAATGAGCTGGTGTACATAAAGCTCTCAATTCTAGCATGAGGAGAGTAGCTATATAAATGTCAGCATTACTGACACAGCGTTCCTGGGGATGGACTGAATTCCAGTCCATTTCAATGGACAGATTCAGGGATGATGGAATGACAGCCAAGCCAGCCTTAGAGATCTGGATACAACCACAGGGTTATCTAGTCCAACTCCTCATCTAGGGTGCGGTGGCTCATGCCTGTAATCTCAGCTACTTGAGAGGTAGAGAATAGGAGGATTGTGCTTTGAGGCCAGCTGGGCAGTAAGCTATTGAGACCACATCTCGACTGTTGTGCCAAGAGTCTTGTGTGGTGAGAGGCAGAAGCCAAGAGGACAGCCTCCTTTTGGAGACCTGGGGGCCACAGGAATCACGGTTGCTCAGGGGGAGGGCCACGGGGCCCACAGAATCAAGGGAACAGGAGAACCTGGTGGGAGAGAAAGCCATCATTTCCCACAAGACAATGCCTTTGACCAGAACTGAGAGCAAGAGTGTGCCTGGAGGGGTACCTACCCGGAGGCACCCCAGAGGAGATGGTGGAGGCAGAGACCTGGCCCTGGCCTTTTGAGGTCATGGCAGCCACCTCGATGGTGTAGGTAGTGAGCGCGGTGAGGCCGGTGACCCGGTACTCCAGGGTCACGTTGGGCAGGTAGTGGGTCACGCGGGTGTTGGTTCGGTTGTACTCCTCCCACGAGATCCGGTACCCTGCGGGGGGGGGGTCCACGATAATGGCATGAGCTGGGCCTTTGATCCTTGCTCTACTTCCTGCTCAATATGAGCCTGACAGCTGGGTCCATCCCCACTGGGAGTAAAGGAGCTAGGGAGAAAATGGCGGTCCATGTGCCTCCTGGGAAGCCAAAGGGGGCGTGTGGGCAAGGAGAGGAGAGGGATCTGGTCATGGCAGCCCTGCGGGTCCTTAAGACCTGAGACCTGGAGTCGGAGATGCTGGGATACGCTGCAGGGTGGAGGTGTCGGTGGATCCTCTGTGTGGCTGCTAAGATGTGGGGGTCACTGGAGGCCTGGCTGACCCCCCCACCAGCCCCACCCCCCACCGTCTCATTCAATAGCCCCTCGGGGGGCCTACCCGTGAGGATGCCGTTCTTCTCTCCTGGCTCCTGCCAGCTGACCTTCAGCGAAGTGTCCAGGATGTCACTGAAGCTTAGGTGTCCCACGGGGCCTGGCACTGTTTCCCAAAAGGGTCCCCCACCACCCCCACCCAGGGCAAGTTAGAGCCAGAGCAAGGCCACACTGTGCAGCAAAGCTGCGCGGGCCTGGGTGGGAGGGAGAGGGGGCTGGGGAGGGCGGCTGGGGAGGGTGGGGGCACCTACCATCTTCATGGGTGCGCACCAGCTGGGGGCTGCTGCGGGGCCCGTCCCCCGGGGTGGTGAAGCACAGAGCGGAGGTGAAGTACTCGGTGAACTTCTTTAGGCCGGAAACAAAGCCCACGTGGATGCTGTCTTGAAAGTTGGGCCGGGCAGTCACCATGGTAACTTCCTCCTCCTGATCTGGCTCCCAGGCGATCAGCTGGGGACAGGCCAGCAAGAACCTTCCAGAAAAGCCCTGTTCCACAGGCTGGGCTAATACTATGTCCCTTCTCCCAGGAAAGGGAGCAACAGGGCGGTAGAGCCCTATCCTGCCTGCTACCACTCCGAGGTGCTGGTCCATTACTTGAGCCAGTGACCCCAGGCAAAGAGTTAGATGCCCACATGAGAGGATTTGCCCTATCACGCCCCAAGGTGGCTCTGCCCTAGAGCCAGCTTCAGGCTGCCCAGGCCCAGTGCAAAACCAGAACAGAGCCCTGTGCTAAAAATTAATTTCTTTTTTTTAAATTTTATTTTATTTGTGAACATACTGTACAGAGGGGTTACAATTACATGGGCAGGATAATGCGTACATTTCTTACCAAGCATTGCAGCCTCCTCTTTTGTTTACCCTTCACATCCCTTCCCAGCCTCTCCCCTCCCCCCTAAAAACTAATTTCTAAGTGGAGTGCCAGTAGCTCACACCTCTACTCCCAGCTACTCAGGAGGCTGAGATCTGAGGATCATGGTTTGAAGCCAGGCTGGGGTAGGAGAGTCCATGAGACTCTTATCTCCAATTAACCACCACAAAAAAAAGCCAAAAGTGGAGCTGTGGCTCAAGTGGTAGTGTGCTAGCCTTAAGCGAAAAAGCTCAGGTTCAGTGCCCAAGCCGAGTTCAAGACACACACACACACACACACACACACACACACATTTCTAGGCACACACATTTCAGCACAGCATTTGAGCAAACTTGGGGCTCTCTAAACTCCAGGGCCCAGGGCTTTCCATCCCAGAGGCAGGGTGCACATCATTTATTTACAAATGAGGAAACTGAGGGTCAAAGAGGCTGAGTGACTTACACGATGTCACACAGCTAGGGACAGCTGAGGCGCTCAGTTTCCAAGCCCTGGTCTCCACAACTCGCACCCAACAGGTTGGGGTAGTGTCCCCTTGGTTGGAGTTCTCCAAGACTCACATCCCATAGGACTTTATTTTGTGGGTAACTCTGTCCTCTTTATACTTGTTCCAAGCTGATATTTCAATCTGAAATGTTACCTAGAGGTGAGGAGTCATCAGAAGACCCCCCACCCCATCTTGAAATCCATTCCTTTCTCTCTCATCAACCTCTGTACCTGCCTCCCATTGGTTGTCTAAGTCTGCTGCCTCTCCTCCTAATTCTACCTCCCGCTCACCTCCCGCTCTTGTTTTCTGGGCTCTTCATCTGTCTCCAACAATGACAGCTGGTCTCCAAGATTTCCTCATTTATTTGAAGTTGATTAAATAGCAATTAATGCTGAAAAGCTACACTCGAGAAGCTTTAATAAGCATGGTATTTATAGATATAAAACAATACCACACCAGTGTCTCCTGATTAACTCACGCCCTATAACAATGCTTAATCTTCTCTTTTTCAGGGCCCTGTGTTTATAAAGGATGTTTTGAAATTTAATTGGTATTGTGGAAAGATAGCCTATAGCAAGTTAATTAGACACTAATTAGACCTAAAAATACCAATCAGAAATACTAAGTGGCATTTAATAAGTATGTTAAATATCCTCTTTATTTCACTTATCTTGTTTCATAGCAATTAAATTGCCCCAACTTCTTTGGAGTAGATGAAGAAATGAGCTTGATGTTTTAATTTAATTTAATTAATGTAAATTTGAATTAATTATGCTGTTGGAATTAATTGTGTGGAGTGTTCCCCAGCAAGTGTAAAATTTGGGTAAATATTATTTTATTGGGCTTAAGTTAATTACAATCACTATCGTTTTTAAAAAAATATAAAGGCAAAAAGAATGACTTTACAGGTGTTTTAAAACTGTCACTGGTACTTGTCTACAAAAACGATTTGTCGGAAATGGTAAGTGGAGTGTGGTGTGGAGGGTAAACAATACAGACTTGGTCCTACAGCTCCCAAGATGGTGGTAGTGTCCAAGATGGCAGCAGAGCCATGGCTTCCAGAGTCGGCTTCAAAATATTCATTATGGGGTGTGGAGCTGTAAGATAATGATGTTCCCGACACTCCTGGGTGTTATGGTTTGGTTATGAAGTTGAAAGTTTGGTCCCCAGCTGGTGGATCCCGTCATTGAGAGACTGCTGGCTTATGAGGGCTCTGATCAATGGATCCATCCATTGATGAACTGACAACTGAATGGACTTGGGAGGTGGGGCTTGGTTGGAGGAAGTGGGTCACAGGGAGAATTCCCTTCAAGGAGGTAATTCTCTGCTTCTCTCTGTTTCCTGGCAGCCATAAAGTGAGCAGCTCTGCCTTACCCGCTTTGTGACCTTGCTGCTACACAAGTTCTCTGCCATGATGTTCTGCCCCATTCAGGTCCATAGCAACCATAGACTGATGAATGCATACAAACAGAGCTGTGCTGTGCTCTGTGCTCTGTGTGTGCGTGCGTGTGTGTGTGTGCGTGTGTGTGTCCGTCCTGGTTCTAGGGCTTGAACTCAGGGCCTGACTGCTGTCCTTCAGCTTTTGTGCTCAAGGCTAGTGCTCTGCCACTTGAATCATACCTCTACTTCCAGCTTTTTACTGGTTAATTGGAGATAAGAATCTCATGGACTTCCCTGCCCAGGCAGGCTAGTACTGAACCTCAATTAGCCTCTTGGGTAATAGGCCTGAGCCTATTATAGGCCTGAGCCACTGGCACCCAGCTGAACAGAGTTTTTACTCTGCATTTCCTACATGAATTGAATGTTTGGGGAACCAAAATCTGATAACAGGGGATCTTTCTTCTTCTTCTTCTTTTTTTTTGTACATAATTTTCAACTAGGAAGCCAGGGAGAAATGATAATATTTGCCCATCTTCATTTTGCAATCCTTATTGAAATTAATCATACAAGGGCTGCTGATGGCTGCCTGAAAGAGAAAAACAGACTCTGTGCCTTCCAATGGGAATACAAAACACATCTCGGATGCATTGTCTTTTTTGGGGGGGGCGGGGGAGAAAAGCCTCCATCAAACCTGAATCTGACTCGTTTCCTGCTCTATCTGCCAATGTGTGGAAATACGGCTTTCTGAGGACAAGTTCAATGACCCCCCTGGGGATGCAATCAGCAAAATCCAGTCTGGGGAGAAATTCTATAGGACAAATGACTGCTTCTTCTCTAAGTAAATTTCAAGTCAAAAAGGGAGAGAATGAGATGAGAGAGAGAGAATCTATAGATCAATTGAGACCTTAGATAAAAACCAAACAGAAACGATGTGGACTCCATTTAGACCTCAGCCAACAAGTGGCAGAAATAATGTGGCACTCAGAGGAACTGAAAGGCTGGCTGGAGAGTTAATGACATCAGAGGGACTGCTGACATTTGTAGGCATCATAATGTGGTTATTGTGGTTTTGTTTTAGATAAATAAAACGTATCTATTATCATTCCCTAAGAAGTATCTGTGGATGACAGGATATATGGGCCTGGAATTTGGTTCAGAATATTCTGAGAGAGGCTGAGGGCTGAGGATAAAGTGGCCACAGTTGGCTGTGAGTTAGGAATTCTTGAAGCTGGAGATGGGCAAATGGGGTTCATTATTGTCTCCCCTGTACTCTTGTAGGTGTTTGAAAAATTTAACAATTCAAAAGGGAAGAGAGGAGCTGGGCGCTGTTGGCACACGCTTGAAATCCTAACTGCTCAGGAGGCTGAGAGCTAGAGGCTTATGGCTCCAAGCCAGGATGGCTGGGCAGAAAAGTCAGAGACAGGGAGATCTGGGATATGGAGATAACCCAAATAACTGTCTGAAAAGCAGAAAACTAAGCTGGAGGAGGGGCGCAAGTGGTGGAGCAACCAGCTGAGCAAGCATGAGGCCCTGAGTTCAAACCCTGGTACCACTGAAAAGCATGGTAGGCCGGAATGGAGGTACATGCTTGTAATCCTAGCGTTCAGGAGGTGGAGACAGGAGGATTGAGAGTTTGAGGCCAGCTTTGGCTACATAGTAAATCTGAGGCTAGTTTAGGTTAAGTAGTAAGATCCTGTGTCCAAAGACAAAAGAAACAAAACTAAAAAAAGCTAGGGGGAGGAGTGAGTCCGTTCTTATCACAGGTATGCCCAAGACAAACATTATTCTCCTCCCCTTACTGTGATAGAAAGACGTGGGCCAAAGATCAGGAAAAAAAATTCCCTACTTTTATCTATTTGGCTACAAAATATAAGGTTGTAGTCCTTACGTTGCAATGAAATCATAAATATTTTAGTTTTTCTTTTCTTGTTGGTTGTGGGGCTTGAACTTGGGGCCTGGGTGGTGTCCCCTGAGCTCTTTTGCTCACAGCTAGTGCCCTATCACTTTGAGGCACTTCCGGTTTTCTGGTGGTTAACTGGAGATAAGAGTCTCATGGATTTTCCTGCCCAAGGTTGGCTTTGAACCATGATCCTCAGATCTCAGAGTAGCTAGGATTGGCATGAGCCACTGGCACTCAGCAGTTTTTATCTTTTGATGAACTCAGAGCCTCATACTTGCTAGGGAGATGCTCTCTCTCACTTGAGCCATGCCTCCAGCTCTTTTCTGCACTGGTTGTTTTCTGGGTAGGGCCTTGCTTTCTGCTGGGGCCAGCAGCCCTCCCTCCGCCTACCCCTCCCCTGTTGCTTCCCCCCCCCCCACTTCCATCTCCCCAGGTGAGGAGAGGCCTCCGTACCTTGTAGCCCTGGTTGATGCCGTTGATAAACTGGGGGCTGGGGGCAGTCCAGGTGAAGCGGATGGTGGTAGAGTTGGTGGCTTCGACGTGCACATTGCCTGGGGGGACCGTGGGGACTAGAGGGGATCAAGGCACAAGTGGGGAGTGGGGGTTAGTCAGTCTCAGTGCCCTAGCAGAATTGGGGAGGGGTCTATACAGACTCTGCTTCTACACCACATCAGTGCCTCTGTGTGTGTGTGTGTGTGTGTGTATCTTATTCTTATTCTTAATTCAAAGTCAATGAAACTGGCCAGTCCCACACCCCAGGGGCTGACAATGGACATGCCAAATACTCTATGTGGGATTTGGCTGAGTTTCCCGTGGACTGTGGACTGTAAGCCAGCTCATCATCCGGGTAACTTCACAGAGAGTCTCTGAAACCTCAAAACCTCTGTGCAGTCCTGTCCCATCCCATGTGAGCCCTCACCCTCTCCTCCTCGTCTTCCCGACCCAGCTGCCTGGAGGGATTCCACTTGAGCACAGTGGCAAAGCCTAAATCAGGATGCTCAAGACGGGGACAGGTAAAGGAATAGGGACAGGACCGGGGCCTGGCAGGCCAAGGCCTGGAGAGCAGATGCACCTGCTCCTTTCCGTCCCCGTCTGTGTCTACTCACCTCCCTGCAGCGTCCACTCGGTGACCTTGCTGCTGTACACGCCCAGCCCTGCACTGTTGTAGGCGGCCACCTCAATCTCGTAGTTGGTCCAGATGATGAGGTCCTCCAGCAGCAGGTTGTTGACATCGGCGTCGGTGATGTTCTTGAACTGGTATCCGACAGGCAGCCCAGCCAGGCAGTACCTGACGGGGAGCAGAGAGGACAGCGTGGTGGGTCTGAGTCAGTCTGCACAGCCTTGCTCTCAGGAAACTGCCTGGAGCAGCCCCACTGTCTTCTAGAATGTTCTGTGACTCACAGCCGTGCTGTCTAACAGGGTGGGCGTCCCCTAGCCTGCCCTTAATGCAAGTAAGGAGTTGGGTCTGTCTGACTGATGAATTATTATTTTTTGGTGATACTTTGGGGTTTGAACTGAAGGCCTAGTGCTTGCTAGGTAAGTAAATTCTCTACTGCTTGAGCTGCAATGCTCCATTTGCTTCTAGTTTGTTTTTTTTGGGGGAAGGGGCCCCAGTCCTGGGCCTTGAACTCAGGGCCTGGACGCTGTCCCTGAGCTCCTTTTGCTCAAGGCTAGTGCTCTACCACTTGTTCCTCAGCTCTACTTATGCATTTTTTTGAGTAATTTAATGGAGATAAAAGTCTCACAGACCTTCCTGCCCAGTCTGGCTTCCAACCAGGATCCTCAGATCTCAGCCTCTTGAGTAGCTAGGATTACAGGTGTGAGCCACCAGTGCCCATCTCTGATAACATTTTGAGAATTTTCCCCCTTGCTGGCTTCAGAGAAGAATCCTTCTACCTCTGCTTCTCATATAGATGTGTTTTGAAATAAGGACTGAATAATTTTTGCCCAGGTTGGCCTTAAACCATGATCCTCCAGTCTCCATATGCCTAGGCAGATGGGATTACAGGTGTGCACCACTATGCCCCACCCACCATGCATTCTTAATAATTTTACACAGCCATATGTGACTGATTGGATAACATACATCTAGACTTTTTTTGGTGCCAGTTTTGGGACTTGAACTCAGGACCCTGAGCTCTCGGCTTTTTGGCTCAAGGCTGTTGCTCTTCCACTTGAACCATACCTCCATGTCTGGCTGTTTATTGGTCAATTGGAACTAAGAGTCTTACAGACTTAGGCTGGCTTTGAATCTCCATCTCTTGATCTCAGCTTCCTGAGTCACTAGTATTTCAAGTGTGCACCACAGGGTGGGGACCAGATTAATTTTAATTTAGGAGTGCTCTATTTTGGCAGCTTTCTTTTTTGTCAGTCATAAGGCTTGAACTCTGGGCCTGGGTGCTATCCCTCAGCTCTTTAGCTCAAGGCAAGCACTCTACCATGAGCCATGGTGCACTTCCCATTTTCTAGTGGTTAATTGGAGATAAGAGTTTCCTGCCCGAGCTGGCTTTGAACCATGATCCTCAGATCTCAACCTCCTGAGTGGCTAGGATTATAGGTGTGAGCTACCGGTGCCTGGCTTGTTTTTGTTTTTGTTTTTTGTTGGTCATGGGGCTTGAACTCTGGGCCTGGGCGCTGTGCCTGAGCTCTTCAGCTTAAGACAAGCGCTCTACCACTTGAGCTAGAGCACCACTTCCTGGTGCCTGGCTTGGCAACTTTCTTTTTTTTTTTTTTTTTGTCCATTGTGGGGCTTGAACTCTGGGCTTGGGCGGCATCCCTCAGCTCTTCAGCTCAAGGCTAGCTCTCTACCACTTGAGCTACAGCGCCACTTCCGGTTTGCCACTTCCGGTTTTTCAAGTGGTTTATTGGAGATAAGAGTTTCTCAGACTTTCTTGCCTGGGCTGGCTTTGAACCGCGATCCTCAGATCTCAGCCTCCTGAGTAGCTAGGATTACAGGCGTGAGCCACCGGCACCGCCCGGCATTGGCAACTTTCTTTAAGCTTAAGATTATAGGTACCTTCACCCAATGATTCCTGTTGTTTTCCATGACTGTCACAGCCAGAAATTCTTCTAGAAGCCTAACCCAAACCCTTCCTGCCACAGCATGCACATTTCTTGTTAGAGATGGAGACTCTGCCATGAATCTGCTGTGTTTTCCAAGGCCATTCCCAGTGTTAGTCCATCCCCACCCTTGCTGGGCAGCCCCTGGCATGGAGGCCCCACCTACCTGATGAGGTACCCTTTGAGGACCCCATTCTGATGGCTCTCGGGAGGAGGCTGCCACTGGATCATGATGGACTGGTTGGTGCGGCCGCTGGCGATGACATTCTGCGGCGGGGCTGTGGGTGGTTCCTCGGGGAGGGAAATCCTGCACCAGAGACCCACAAGAGCCTGTGACTCTCACCCTTCGCCTCTGAGGGCCATACAGAAGTGTGATGGGTCCTGGGGGAATGGACTCCACCCTGCTCTGCCCCTGGATAGGATTCTGCACACCTGCTGTGTGCTTCTGGGCAAGTCACTGAACGTCTCTGAGCAACGCCTGCTGGATTGCCTAAGCAGCACATTTCTTTAAACACACACACACACACACACACACACACACACACACAGAGGCCTTGGTTTCCCATTTGGGGAAGAAGCTGTAGTTAGGGGTGCTGTGGGCAGAGCTGGCCCACTACTTTAGAAATGGGGATACTGGACACTTCCTTTTCATTCACTGGCCCACTGGAGGTGGGACCTTACTTTGGTCCCTGTATCTGACCAGCTGAGCACCAGGCCGGGTGGGCCTGGGGTGAGCAGGAAGCCCCAGGCCTCCCATGGGCCTCTTGGGCTGCTCCCCTCTCTGATACCTCCAGGGTACGCAGTGTTTGAGCAGAGCCTATTTTTTACATCGCTGACACTTATCCATTAAAAACAAAAGTTAATTATTTTTGATGGATGTCTCTCCCCTTTTCGTTTATTTGTATGCTTTTGAGCTGTGATGGATAGCTCTCCACAAAGTACTGAGATGCCCTTGGTTTTGGAGAGCCTGATGCGACAGTGATTTAACCTTTATTCCTGGTGACTCAGGGCCATCAGCCGGGGGTTCATTAGACAGGTGACTCTGTGGTACAGAGAATCCCAGGGTGGCAGAAGGTGGGGGCTGGGCAGGGTCCCCTGCACCTCCAGCCCCCCACTACTGGGATTCTGTGGCTTCCAAAGGGCTGAGGCTATGGGTGTTAGATGTGCCTTCCTGGGTGCTAAGGGCATTTTTTTTGTTTGGCTGGGATTACAGGCATGGGCTACCATGCTGGGCCTGGAGGGCATCTTTTGAAGAGCTAAGTGCACAGCTTTGGTGCGTGTGATCTCTGACCTCTTCTGTGATGGCCTCTTTGGCACTAGTGGTGGTTGCTCGTTATACCAGCTGAGCTGGATGGAATTTGCATTCTCGTAAAAGGCTGTGAGATGCTTCAACATGGATCACCCGTTGTTCTTATTTTTCAATGTCCATCATGTAATAAAAAGCTTTGCTGGGACTTCCCCAGCGTCTGGCAGGAAGCAAGGCACTGGATGTTGAAACCTGAGGAGGTCCTACAACTCTCTGGAACTTTCTGGATGGCTGGAAGGCCCAAGGAAGTAAGGTTTTGAGTCTACATAGTACATCAACAGTAGGCATCTCATTACTTGGTTCACGCTTATCACACATCATGTTTTGTCTACAGCACTCTGCCTGGGGCATCTTGCTTAATCCCTGTTATATCCTTGTAAGTGTTATCATCATCCTCTTCCACAGAGAGGGAGACTGAGGCCTCTGGGGTCAGAGAAATACCCAGCCAGAACATACACTGCAGCTCAGCCCTGCTCTCTGGGCTAGATCTGGGGCAGCCAGTGTTTCCTGTAGCCCCTGCCCCAGATGGTGTGCCAGATTTCCCCCCCTCCCCGTACCTTACCTGTCGGTGTCCTTGCTAAACTGTCCTCTCCCCACGTCGTTGACAGCACAGAGTCGGAACTGGTAGGACCGTGCTGGGACCAAGCCCTTGACCATCACCGAAGTGGCTTCAGGATCCACGCTGGCCAGGAGGATGGTCCAGGGAGCATCTGCAGAGATGGGAGAGGGAGGAGAGGAGGGGTGGGCGGGGGGCTGGATGGGACGGGATTCCCACCCTGCATGTCCACGAGGGGGTTTGCTCTGGCAGGAGAGTGAGTGCTTTGCCCTTCCTGCATAACCCCTGTGCATCCTGGGTCTCATGAGCCCACGTGACCAGGGAGAAGAAGGGAGTTGGAGGGAGTTGGAGGGAGCAAGGGCTCATGGGACCGGAGATGCCCTTGTTTCTCCCCCTCATTGAGGAGCTCTGGGCAGTCAGATGATTCTCGTTACTTTTGGAGTTTACAGCTGCTGCTGCTGCTACTGGGTCAGGTCCGGCATTAAGCACCAGCTGAGCGGTATGGGACAGGTGGAGGCTGTTTTCCCCTTTAGAGAGGAAGCGGGGCTGCAGGGGGCGGGATCTGCTTGGAGGCCCAGGACTGGGGACTGGAGGGCACGGAGACTCTAGCCCAGCACTGACTTGCACCATGTGTCAGCGATGAGCAGGGTACCGGAGGGGACAGAGGAGTCCTTACTATTCTCTGACATCTCCAGGACGTAGCGGATCAGGGGGCTGTTGCCGTCAAAGGGCTTGGCCCATGTCAGGTTGATGGCTCTCCTCTCCACCATGCTGAGCATTGCCACGGGATGCTCCGGGGCATGGGGCAGCTGCCTAGAAGAGATGCGAGTGGAGGGGCCACAGAACATGGCCTTCTGCTGTCCACCCGGAGATTCCTCCCGCCGGAACGAATCTGTCTAAGCCTTGCTCGGACCCCTGCTCCTGACGGAGGCCTCTCAGAGCTGAGGGGGAGGTGGAAGGATACATCCCCAAAGGATGCTTAGGGCACATGGTGGATGAGCAGGACAGGCCTGGGGTCATCCATGGTCCTGGGTGCTGACAAGAAGCTGGCTGAGCCATCTCGGTGCCATTGCTTTTTTGTCCCAGCTGGCTCTGAGCCATCCCGGGGCCATTGCTTCCTCTGTCCTTACCTGACTCGCAGGTGGGCACTGCGAGAGTCATTGCCGCCAGCCGAGAGCACCCTGCAGGTGTAGGTGCCAATGTCTCCGGACCATGTCTGTGAGACGTGCAGGGAGCCATTCTTGTCCAGGCGGACACGGGGATTGTTCTCCACGGCCAGGGTGGCCCCGTCCTTCTCCCACACATACCTGTAAGGAGGGAGAGAGAGGAAATAAAGGGAGGTCTATGGGGGGGTGGGCCTTCCCCAAAGCTTGTCCTGGGAGGACAGCACCCAAGATGGGCAGGGTTGTAGTGGTGGCGATCAATCCACAGGGACTCTTCTGGAGATGGTTTTGGCCAGGCCAGACACTTGGCCCGGGGAAGAGCACGTGGGAGGTGGAGAGTCTGGACATCCATCATTCATTCCTATAGTGCACTATCCATCAGTCTAATGCAGCACCTCCTTCGTGTTTATTTACACCTTTGGTTCAGGTCTGGGTCAAAGCCACCATGTTGTTTTTGGCTGGGTACCTTCGCCACCTAGCCAGGCCAGAGCCGGAGAAAGAATGAGAATTTTTCTGCACAGGCCCTGCTTGGAATTAGTTTTATGAGGAGGATCGTTAGATCAATGCAACTGGGTGACAAATTGACTTTTGTGTCCAGAAAATCACTTTTATTTCGGCCCATCTGTACAAAGGGGGACTTGAAATGTCTTCTCTGGGATTGTCCTGGAGGGAATACAATCATTATCGCAATCGTTGGCACACTCCGAGGGCCAGCTCTGTGGGAGCGGAATGTAGGTCACCTGGCTCTTATTCATGGTGAGTGAGGGGTCAGGGTGGAGACCAGCCACAGGTTCCTAGAACAGTGATATTGTGATATTCTAAACAGTGATTCTGTGATATTCTAAACAAAATACCAACTTAAAAAAACACAGAAATTACAGACGAGGAAAAAAAAATAAGGCGAGCAGGTGGGGGAGAAAAAGACAAAGGAAACTTGGAAAGTTTTCCAGTACCAGGAACTATGGTAACATGACTCTATGTGTGCCTTCCAGACTTTTCTTCCCTTTGTAAATAGGCAGGCGGCAGATCGCAATGTCACTTTTCTGGAGTCAGATGCCTGGGCTGAAGTCTGCCTCTGCCCCTTTCCAGCTTTGCGATCTTGGGTGAGGTTACTTAACCCTACTGTGCCTCATTTTCTTATCTGAATACGGGAACAAATACCACTTCCCTTACAGAAACATGGAAAGCAGTCACTACAAGTCAATCTCCAGGGTTTTTCCTAACACAGCAGATTTACATCAATGATTCTAATGACTTATCAACTACCTGGATAACCATCTGCCCAGCTATCACTCATGCTTCGGTCCATGTGTCCATCCATCTGTCATCCATTCACTCACCTATCTATCCATCCATCCATCATCTCTTTGCCATTCATCTAACATCAATTGATCCAGTACCCATTTACCCGACCATCCATCCACCTATTCATCACTATCTACCCATCCCTCTCTCCATCCATCATCCATTCACCCACTTAACCACCCATCTATCCACACATTTGTCATCCATACCTCCATCTATCATTTATCCATCCAGCTCTCTTTCCCTCCTACCTACTGTCTCTCCTTCCATCCCTCTTTCTTTCCCTGCATTCATTTTTATATCTGTCTCTGCATCCACCCATGCCTCTTACATACATATATCCATCCATCCATTCATCAGTATCTCCCCATTCATCTATCGCTTTGTCATTCATCCACCCATCCATCTATCTACCCACCCACCCATCCACCCACCCATCCATCCATCCATCCACCCACCCATCCATCCATCCATCCATCTATCCATCCATCCATCCATCCATCATCTATCCATCTAATTCTCCTTCCCTCCTACTCACGGTCTCTTTCTCTTCTACCCCTCCCTCTTTCCTTCCTTGGTTCCATTCTCATATCCATCTTTATATCCATCCATGCCTCTTACATACATGTATCCATCCATCCACCCATTCATCACTATCTCCACACCCATCCATTTGTCATCCATCCACCATCTATCTATCTGCCCATCCATCCATCATCTATCCATCTAACTCTCCTTCCCTCCTACTCACTGTCTCTCCCCCTTCATCCCGTTTCCTTCCCTGCATCCATTCTTGTATCCATCTCTATATCCACCCATGCTCTTACATACATGTATCCATTCATCATTCATTTGCCTACCTATCCACACATGCATCCATTTAACTATTATCCATTCATTTTTCTGTCCATCCACTGATCCTCAGCCAACCAGCCAGCCATCATCCATCATCCACCTATCCATCCATCATCCACCAACCATCCTTCCACCCATTATGCATGCATCCATCTATCCATCTACCATTTATCTGCCATCCATCCAATCACAGAGCAACTAGTGCTTCCATCCACCCTCTAACCATCATCCAAGCACCATCCATCTATTCCTTTACCCACCCACCCACCCATCCATCTACACATTCATTCACTTATCATCCATCCACATGTGGACACCCATCATTTTCCTCTCAACAAAACACCCCATATTCTTTAAAAAAAAAAAAAAAACCAGAGGCAGGGTGTTTTTAATATAGTTATCTTGCCACTTAATTGGCTTCTTAATGGTGGAGGAGCAGGTTAGTGCCTTTCTTCTGCTACTCTAGTTCACGATCTGATGAACACCCTTATGTTTACATGCTTTCCAAAGCACTTCCTTAAGGAAGTGAGTTAATTTTTACGGCTTAAAAAAATACACATCTAGGGCTGGGAAGGTGGCTCAGCGGTAGAGCGCGTGCCTTGCATGCTTGAGGCCCTGGGTTTGATTCCTCAGCACCACATAAGCAAAAAGAAAAAAGCCGGAAGTGGTGCTGTGGCTCAAGTGGTAGAGCGCTAGCCTTGAGCTGAAGAGCTGAGGGACAGCGCCCAGGCCCAGAGTTCAGGCCCCACGACAGGACCCAAAAAAAAAAATACACATCTACAAACATATAGCAGTAATCACCTTCCCTTCACCTCCTTATCTAGAATTAGCCTTGCTTGTATTTGTGGGATGGGCTGGATTTTCCTTAAAAGCAAATTTAGTTGCAGACAGCAAATTCCTGCTTAAGGACCATCTGTGGTGCAGGCCTTCTTGGCTTTGAGATGTGGTGCTTTAGAAAGCATCTACCTCTGTCTTGGAAGTCCCTGTGCCAAAGCCACTGAATTTGAATTTAAGTAGTGGGTCCTAGGATCTAATAGAAACACAGAGGGACAGAAGAACAAGTTAAACAGCACCGGAAAGTAGCTACCAAATCCAGAATGTGGGATAGTCTACTGTGGGGGTAGGGAGGGCTGCCAGCAAAGTATTGTCCACTGTGTGCTTGCAAATAAAGTTTTATTGAAACACAGATATGCCCACTGGTTGACACATCATCCTTGGCTATTTTTGTACTTACTCCAAATGGAGCTGCACATTGGTGATAGAAATGCCATAGCTTTCAAAGCTTAAAAGCATTACATGCTACAGAAACAGTGTCCTGACCTTGCCTGTCCCAACAAATCGGCGACATGAAAACAAAAATGTAAAAAAAAAAAAAAATAGAAGAGATGAAAATAAAGAAGTTCTTTCAACAAAAGGTGCCAGAGCAACAGGGTAGCTACATGTAAAAAAAAAAACATTAACTCCACACAAAATTAATTCGCAACGGCCCACAGAGCCAGATATAAGATGCAAAGGTCTAAAATTCCTGGAAGATAAGAGAAACACATAGATGACATTGCATTTGGTGCCGACTCTTTAGATCCAATACTAAAGGCAGGGTGCATAGAAGAAGGAATTGAGAAGCCGGATTTGGCTAAAATTAAAAACTTCTGCTCTTCCTGCAGATACTGTCAAGAGAATAAAAAGAGAAGACACAGACTGGGAGGGGAAAAAATGTTTGCACAACAAATATCTGATATAAAGCACTGTTATCCAAAATACCCAGAGAGCTGAAAAGTCAACGCTAAGAAAACAAACATCCTGATTGAAAAATGGGCTCAAGTCCTTGACAGACACCTCCCCAAGGCAGACACTCAGAGAAGAAGGCAAACGGCCTAGGAAAAGATGCTCCATGGTCTGCCATGAGGGAGAGGTAAGAGAGAGCAGCCAGGAGGCCCAGAATGGCTGAGCTTACAGAAGGAACTGACTTTGCTGGTCCTGGCTTGGGAGCGCATGTTCACTCACTCACAGTTGGTGAGGGGAGAGGCAGAACATACCACCTTTCCAGAGACAGGAGGGATGGTTTCTTGCAAGACTAAACATATGCTTATTATTACCTTTCCATAAAGAAAACTTAAGAAAAAGCAAAGAGGCTGGATGCTGATGGCTCACACCTATAATCCCATCTACTCAGGAGGCTGAGATCTGAGGATCACTGTTCAAAGCCAGCCCAGTCAGGTAAGTTCCATGAGACTCTTATGTTTAATTAACTACCAAAAGGCTGGAGTGGGGCTGTGGCTCAAGTGGTAGAGCACCACGGCTGAGCAGGAAAGTGAAGGGAGACTACCCTGGCCCTGTGTCCCAGGACCAGCACACACACATGAATTATTTATTGACATTGGAGGAGAGGCATGATAGGATTTGAAGAGAAGAAGTAGGTTAAGGAATGGTATATTTCTAGTTCTTTTAAAAGTGGCACCCTAATATTATTCTCGATTAGGCACAGTTCTGTTCCTCATTACTATTATTTTTGGCTTAGCTACATTTTCTGTGTTTTCCTCCTAAAATATAATGACCTCATTGTATAATGAAAATAAACATTTCTATTCATATGAATAATGCTAAAACGGATGATTTCAGGCTTGGCTTAGATCTGGGCCTGGATACCAACTGGAAGTGTCGTTTTGGGGTTCTTTTACATGGGTAGCCTGTATCTCAACCCCTGTGGCCTCACCTCTGAGGCATGGCTTTATAATGTGTCACTCAGGATCGGGTGGCTGGCACTAACGCATCACCTGGTCATTCAAATCCTTTCTAGGCTGTCTGCTCAGGGGACCCTGGTATGTTCGGAAGCTAGAACACTGCCCTCTTCCCTCCCTCCTTCCTTCCCTTCCTTCTTCGGATTCAGGATTGAACTCAGGGCCTTGTGCTTGCTAGGCAAATGCTTTACCACATCCCCATTCTTTCTTTCTTCTAGTTTGTTTTTCCAGACAGGGTCTCATGCTTTTGTCTGGGTTAGCCTCCGACTAAAATCTTACCTCTGACTCCTGAGTAGCTAGGATTCTAGATATTTGCCACTACGCTCAGCCTAGAACAGGTTTTATATTCTGGACACATATTAGAATCACCTGGGAGCTTTGAAAGTGTTGAGATTCCCCCCACTCCCAATGTAGCTCAGGAAGATGGAGGACAGAAGGACTCCCCTCAGAACTACACAGGCCTGGAGGGGAGATGTAGGTCTGGAGCTGACAACCAATTTGGGAAAGGGGGTGAGAGATCAATTCTTTTCTTTCTTCCCATCTTGTTGTTGTTGTTGGTTGTGGGGCTTGAACTTGGGCCTGGGCGCAGTCTCTGAGCTCTTTTGCTCTATCACTTCGAGCCACAGCGCCACTTCCAGTTTTTTGAGTAGTTAGTTGGATAAAAGCCTCATGGGGACTTTTCTGCTTGAGCTGACTTTGAACTGTGATCCTCAGATCTCAGCTTCCTGAGTAGCTAGGATTATAGGCGTGAGTCACAGGCGCCCAGCTTTCTTCCCATCTTATAAAGATTGTTCTAGGTGGTAAATTTTGATGGTGAGGGCCCATACAGGAAGCTGGGGGAGGAAGCTGCCATTTGTAGGATGTTGCAGGGAACCCTCAAGAGTGAACATAGAGAAGAAGAAGCTTTTTTTTTTTTTTTTGGCCAGTCCTGTAGCTTGAACTTCTTTTGCTCAAGGCTAGTGCTCTACCGCTTGAGCCACAGCACCACTTCCATCTTTTTCTGTATATGTGGTACTGAGGAATTGAACCCAAAGCTTCATGCATGCTAGGCAAGCACTCTACCACTAAGCCACATTCCCAGTCTCGAACAAGAGACTTCTGAATCCTTTGGTTCTCCAAGACTTAGTTGAAGAGGACTAAAACTCGTGATCCTTTCCCAAATAGAAGTGGACAACACTTTTTTAAATAAAGTATTGATTTAAAGTGTTACTGTGGTAGTGGCTCATGCTTATAATCCTAGCTACTCAGGAGGCTGAGATCTGAGGATCCTGGTTTCAAAGTCAGCCCAGGCAGGAAAGTCTGGCCACTGTGGCTCAAGTGGTAGAGCAGTAGCCTTGAGTGAAAGAGCTCAGGGACAGTACTTAGGCCCTGAGTTCAAGCCCCATGTCTGACAAAGATAAAAAAAGAAAGAAAAGAAAAAAGGGTTACTGAACGAACATAGCCTTTTGTTGTTGTTGTTGTTGCTATATACTTTTCCAATTTAAGGAGCTAAAAGTGAATCTACTGCATGTTTCCAGTCTGAGACTCACAGCACTGAGCCCTGGGTTCTCTCCCAGGACCTGTTCACACTTAGGATATTAATGTTTTAAAGAAACAAGCCCAGGATAGAGTATAATTTGTTTTATCTGCCACTGGCAGATAAATCAGGGCTCTTGTTTACATTTGGGTTGGCAGGTGGCCATTTTCCTAAAGGTCAATGCTGAATGTGAGTTTTCTCAATGTGGGGTGAGAAACCGCTTCTCTGAAAGTCCGTGTTGGTCAAACCCTAGAGTCCATTATGAAACCTGTCGTGTGGTCACCTTGTCTGTAGTGTGGTCGGCACACTGACCTCTTCTCAATGACCACCAGATGGCGCCCCAGGACTTGATTGCCTCTTGCAGCCAAGGGGAGGCCATTTTTTTCAAGAGGCCCCATAGCCCTTCCAACCTCCATGCCCAGAGTATGCCAAGGGTACTGCCCAGTGGTTGGAGCAGCTATGCTGGGCATCTCCCCTTCTAAATAAGTTACATTTGTTTCTTGGCCTTCTAGAGCTTATGGGAATGAACCAGGGGACACTACCATCCTGGTCTCTTTTCATGGGGTGGAGTGGGGCATGTAGTCTGGGTGTCACTACCCAAGCTTGGACACATCCTGGCATTTACACCTTTCTTGGCTGCTTCTGTCCACAGCTTCTACATTGGCATCCTGAGTGGAACTGAGTTCCTGGAGGCCAAGTTCTGTTGCCCAGGTCTCTGCTTCCCCTCAGGTGTATATGGGGGGTATCCTCAGCTGGGGTACTTTCCCCTGTCATACTCCTCTTGGTGGGTCATCCCCTGGGATCAGCTCCTGCCTCAGCCCTCTGGGGGAAGGAAGTCTTCTGTGAATATTAAAGTAAGACCTGAAGATCTGCCTGCACGATTAACCAGATGGTCTAAATTGTGAAGAAGTTACAGTCATATCTGAGGCCACAGAGAGCAATTGGGAGACTCCATCCTGAAAACCTTTTTCCTGCTCCTCTCCCTTCTCCCTTCCTTCCTTTCTCATTTTCTAAGTCTCTTCCTCTTTTCCAGTCCCCTCTTGGCCTTTTTCAATTCAGCCCTAAGTAGCTTGGCCCACAGGTATTTGTTCACTTATTATTATTTATTATTGTTTTGTTTGTTTTCCTGGGGCTTGAACTCATGGCCTGGGCACTGTTTCTGAGTTGTTTTGCTCAAGGCTAGCACTCTGCCACTTTGAGCCACAGCACCACTTCTGGGTTTCTGGTGGTTAATTGGAGATAATTTCATAGAGTCTTTTCAGCCTGGGCTGGCTTTGAACTTCGATCCTCAGATCTTATCCTGCTGAGTACCTAGGATTACAGGTGTAAGCCACTGACACCTGGCTTAGGTGTTCGTTTATTTAGCATGCTGGGCACCCTCTCACCCCTGCTCCTGGCCCTGTGAATGGCCCCCAAGGGTGAGGCCAGGCCCCAGTGGTCACACCTACCTCCATGTGGCCACACCTATTTCTCTGTGGCCACATCCACTTGCTGAAGCCATTCCCACCTCCCCGTGGCCACATCCACCTCCCTGTGCAGTGGCTGCTGGCCTGCGTGCCACCTGCTGCTACTCTTCTGGCTCTCCCTCCCATCTTGTCCAGAGTAATGAATACCTGATGGTCACTCGGGGGTCGTGGGTCACTCCGCACACCATGGAGGCCTGTGTCCCTTTGATGACACTCTGGTCCTGTGGGGGCCTGGTGATGCGAGTCCGAGCTGCAAGACAGGTGGACGGTGTGGTGAGCAGGAGGTGGCCTGGGGCCATGATTCAGGCCATGTGCCTGGGTGCTGAGGGTGGGCCAGGGCAGAGTCTCACACAGCATGGCTACCACAGTGAAGGTCCAGAGGGCAGCCTGTAATCCTAGCTACTCAGAGGCTGAGACCTGGAGCATGGAGGTTTGAAGCCGGCCTGGGAAGAAGAGTTTGCAAGATTCCATGTCTAATCAGCCAGCAAAATGCCAGAGTCTGCTAGAATACCGGCTGTGATCAGAAAAGCTGAGGCCTTGGGTTTAAGCCCTGGTACCAGCACACATATAAAAACTGGTGGCTCAACCCTGTAATTCTAGCTACTCAGGAGGCTGAGATCTGAGGATCGCAGTTTGAAGCCAGGCCGGGCAGAGACAACACCCAGGCCCTGAGTTCAAGCCCCAGGACTGGCGTGCGCACACAAACACACACACACACACACACACACACACACACACACTCAAACCCAGAAAAGGCCAGGTGCTGGTGGCTCATGCCTATAATCCTAGCTACTCAGTAAGCTGAGATCTGAAGATCATGGTTTAAGGCCACCTCAGGCTAAAAAGTGTATGAGAGTATTATTTCTAGTTAACTAGCAAAACACCTGGAAGTGGAGGTGTGGCTTAAGTGGTAGAGTGCCAGCCTCAAGCTTTTTAATACAGCTAAGTGAACTTCAAGCATGAGGTCCTGAGTTCAAGGACCAGTTCCAACACAAAAAGAGAACCTTACTCATGTAACTGTAATCCCTCTGTATAGTATTTTTACATATATATTTCTATATATAGATAGTATATATATACTATCTCTATAGTATATATATATAATATACTATATATATATTATCTATCTATCTATCTATCTATCTATCTATCTATCTATCTATCTATCTATCTATCTATCTATCTATCTATCTATCTATCTATCTATACTATATATAGTAAAAGAAAAAAGACAAAGGAAAACCCCAGAAGGATTACAAAGGACCAGATGCCTCTGGGAAGAGACTCATTGCTCACAAATGAGGGGATGTAAGGGACAGAGAAACAGAAAGCCGAGAATGGCCAGAGTCAGCTGTCAGATCAAGCCAGGTTAACAGGGTCTACGCATGTCTCAGGCGGATGGCTTCTGCCCAGACCCCAGGGCTCAGCCTGGACAGGGGGGGACCCCAGGCCCATCGGGGTGAAAAGCCCCCTCAAGCACCTCACTCCAGGCTGGGGTGGGCGGGGCAATCTGGCAGGTGGCTGTTGAGTAAATGAGCTCCCTGGAACGGGGCCTTGCCTGCCTGTGGGGTGGCATACTGTCTCCGGTTTCCTGGCATCACAGAACTTTCTAGAGTAGTAGTGACAGGGGCTGTCTGGCCCACAAAGCCAAAAATATTTACTAGCTGGCCTTTTGCAGGAAAAAAAAATGCTGATTTCTATTCTAAAATAAACCAAGTGAGCTCTGTGATCACCCGAGCTCTCTCAAGTTGGCTCCCAGGCGGTGGAGGGCTCTTCGCCCCCTGGTCCCTGGCCTCTGAGTTAATTTGTCACTGTCCCCCTGGCTGGAGGAGCCCCACCTGGCGTGGCTGCGGCTGGTGTCCTGTGTCCTTGGCACCCAGGGAGGAGCAGAGCCCCACCCACCGCGACACTCACCCCACACCACCAGGTCTGCGGAGGCCTCGTCCACCCCGCGAGAGTTGGTGGCCAAGCAGGTGTAGGTGCCCGCATCCGAGATGTGCGTGGGGCTGACCAGCAGGCTGCCCGACTCCAGCAGCGTGAAGCGTGGCAGCTGCACGGAGCCGCTGGCCAGGATGCGCTCTCCTGTGGAGACATGGGGCGGGGCGGGGATCAGGTCCCTGACACCCCAGCATCCCTGCTCCCTCATGGGAGGTTGTGCCGTGTTTGTAGAATGCAGTGGCGGCAGCCAGGCCCAGCCTTGCCCAGGCAGGAGACAGACTGGCGAGGCGGTGATGGGCATCCTGCCGCAGGGCACAGGACAGGACAGGACAAAGTCACCTTCTGGGGAGCCAGGACAGTGATGGATGAGGCAGAGGGGAGGGGTGAGAGGCGGGGTGGGGAGGGACAGGGGCTGTGGTAGAACAGGCCTCATGTATGGGGACAGGGAGGGGAGGCTGAGGGTTTGGGCCGTGTGTGGGGGGGAAATAGAAAGAGACAGACACAGAGACAGAGAGAGACAGAAAAGGAGAGAGAAACAGGAGAGTGGTAGAGACAGGCAGAGAGACAGAGGGAAAGAAAAAACTGAGAGCAAGAGGGACGAAGAAAAAGAGAGACACAAACAGAGACAGAACAAGACAGACAGACGCATGGACATACAGAGAGACAGGAAGTCACTGAGAAAATGAGAGGAACAGACAGATGAATGGGAAGGGAGTAAGAGAAAGGAGAGAGAGAGAAACAGGGATGAGGGGAGGGAGAAAGACAGAATGGGGTAGAGAGAGCTAGAGCGAGCATGCTAGAGACACAGAGATACACAGGGATGGGGAGAGGAGAGAGAGGGGAGGGAGGGAAAGGAGAGAGAGGGAGAGAGGGAGAGAGAGACAGGATACAGGCCATGGCTGTGCAGGCTAAGTCCACACGTTTGTCTGCGGGCTTGGCGTGTGCATTTCCACACTTATATGGCACACTGAGTCAGAGATGTGTCAGACGTAGCCAGGTCTCTGGATCCTGGATCTGCACCTGCTTCAGTTCCGCAAGTATATACCAGGCACTGCTGTGTGTTGGGCTCTTGTGTGAGCCCTGGGGAGACAGTTGGGGACCAAGCTGGAACTCCTGGTTCGGGGAGGGGGAGACACCAAGTCCAGGTTGGGGTTGGGGGGGACGTGGGCACACGAGCACACCGCCAGGGTGGTGATGGGGGCTCAGATGGGTGGAAGCATCCCGGGCAATGGGTGCTGGTGGGCAGCTGCCCGCAGCCCTGAGCTGCCTGGAGGAAGGACTGGCTCCTATGGACCATCACCCTAACAATGCTCATTATCACAGATCCTCTGCTTCTTAGTCTTCATGAAGTGCCCCAGACACAGGGCAAGGCCTCCATACTACCATCCAGGCTCCCTGATGCGGTGAGAAATCCCAATCCACAGGTCTCCCCAATTCCCTCAAGCGTGACGCACACGGCTCACACCTATCATCCTAGCTACTGGGGAGGCTGAGAGGAGGAGGATGGGGGCTCCAGGCCAGTGGAGGCAAAACGTTCTTGAGAAACACTCCCCCTCGTCCCACCTCAACCAATAGCTGAGCATGGTAGCACATATCTGTCCCCCCTCCCCCCCCCAACAGAAAACAAAAGCTGCCTGCTATCCCCGCTCTCACGGGAAAATAAATAGGAAGGTTGAGTTGTCAACAGGAGGATCTCAGTCAGGCTGGGGTGGGGGCGAAGGGGTGGGGGTGGGTGGGGAGAGGTGAGATGCTACCTGGAAAATAAAACTAGAGCAAAAAAGGGCCAGAGGCATGGTTCAAGTGGTAGAGCACCTGCCTGGCAAGGGTGAAGCCCTGAGTTCAAACCTGAGAACCTCCAAAACAACAACAACAGCAGCAAAAATATCTTCCGGGACAGGGGCAGATCTTGGAAGATGCAGAGCTGGGCCTCAAGCCCAGGAAGGCAGCACGCATTGCACCCTGGGATGTGTACGATGGTCTCTTGGGTTGTGCAGTGTGCAGGCTTCTCAACGGCCCTTGGGGAACCAAGCTTGGCTGCTCCCAAGCTTCGTCTTTAGGATTCTGGTAGATCCTCATGCCGCTTCCCCCCTAAATGAATGTCCACTCCTTCTACCTTTCTGCCAAGTGATGGCCGGCCGGGGTGCCCCCGAGGTCTCACATGCCAGGACCACCGACATGCCGTCGATCACCGTGCTGTCCAGGGGGCCTCTGGTGATATTGGGGGCGATACCTACAGACAGACAGACAGACAGACAGAGACAGACAGAGCAGGACCTCTTAGCTACCTGGAAGCTCCAGACAGCAGGCCAGGGGTTATGCGTCCACAAAGGGACCTCATCTTTCCTCTCCCTTCCCCTGGGGTCCCAGACCAGGCCTGGATCCCTGGGCCTCCCTCCATCCAGGGCGAAACTGAGGGCCCAGAGAGCAGCTCACACCCCCGTGATAGGGGGTGGGAGACTCATCGTTGAGGCTCTGAGTCAAAGGCAAGAGCAGTTGGGAACTGGCCCGGCACCGGTTCTCGTCTCTGGAAACCTGAGCAGTTGCGGTCTTAGGGTGGAGTTGACTGAGCCCTCTTCAGGACCCATGGGCAGACCCAGAGGAGCTGGGCCCTCTTATTGGTTTCTTATTGTGTTGCTTCTTTTTATTGTATTTTATTTTTTGTGGGTCATGGGGCTTGAACTCAGGGATTGGGCGCTGTTTCTGAGCTCTTTCTGCTTAAGGCTAGCACTCTACCACTTTGAGCCACAGTGCTACTTCTGGTTTTCTGGTGGTTCATTGCAGATAAGAGTCGCAGTGCCTCAAACTGTGGTCCTCAGATCTCAGCCTCCTGAGCAGCTAGGATTACAGGCATGAGCCACTGGCACTTGGCTTAGTACTCCCTTCCTTCCTTCCTTCCTTTTTTTTGTCGGCTGTGGGGCTTTAACTCTGGGCCTTGTTGCTGTCCCTCAGCTCTTCAGCTCAGGCTGAGCACTCTACCACTTGAGCCACAGTGCCACTTCCAGTTTTCTGGTGGTTCATTGGAGATAAGAGCCTGGGACTTTCCTGCCCAGGCTGGCTTTGAACAGTGTTCCTCAGATCGCAGCCTCTTGAGTAGCTAGGATTACAGATGTGAGCCACCGGCACCTGGCAGCACTCTGTTTCTTTTTTTGGGGGGGGGGTCCGGTCGTGGGGCCTGAACTCTGGGCCTGGGCACTGTCCCTCAGCTCTTCAGCTCAAGGCTAGTGCTCTACCACGTGAGCCACAGCACCACTTCCGGCTTTTTTCTTTTTGCTTATGTGGTGCTGAGGAATCGAACCCAAGGCCTCAGGCAATGCAAGGCAAGCGCTCTACCACTGAGCCACCTTCCCAGCCCAACACTCTGTTTCTTAAAGAGCCTGAGGACTGCTGGTGGCCAGGACCTTGGGGACAGCTCCATGGGTGTGGCTGGCTAGTGCCACCAGGCTCTGAGACCCCAGGGCTAGGCCTGCACATGGCTCCCACAGGGCCCTGGGCATTTGGGGCACTGCCCCTGGGCAGTGGCCCTCAGGGTCAGACATGGAACCAACTTACTGGTGACAGCCAAGTAGGTGGAGGTCTGCACCTCTCCAGCCGCGTTGCGGGCGAAGCACTGGAACATGCCGGTGTCATCGGGCACCAGGCTGCTGATCTGCAGGCCGCCGTCGCCCCGCTGCCTGTAGCGGCTCAGCTTCTCCACCTCCACCACGGCCGCGTCCTTATACCAGGTGATGGAGGGGGGCGGTACACCTGGGGGGGGGTGACACGGAGCGCCCTCAGCTGCCTGCCAGGGAGACCCTGCACATTCTGGTTTCTAGAACTTTTTCACAAGTGTGACTTTCACTTTAGGGAGAGGGAGAGGATGTTCTTAGAGCAACAATGCTCACATTCCTGGGGTTATAGGAGGAATGCCATGAAAATGGAAAGCTATGAGATCAGTTTACCTGGGCACTGCTGGATTGGACACGTACTAAAATTAATTAATGGCAGTGCTGGGGTTTGAACTCAGTGCCTTGGTCTTGCCAGGCAGGTGCTCTTGTCACTGAGCCACGCCTTCCTTCCTGTTTTGCACTCGGCATTTTCAGGATTGGGTCTTGCTTCCTATGCAGGATGCAGCTGGACTGCAGCCTGGCTACTTTAGGACTCCCATCTCAGCCGGGATGGCAGGCGTGCTGTCACCACACTGAAGAGGAGGCTCACAGGCCGCTCTGCCCTGCCAGCCAAGAACTGTGATCCCCCTGTCCTCAAAGCTACAACGGCAGGCTTGTTCCCCAGCATTCCAGCTGGGGGTTAAGAAGAGGTCCTGAGAACTTTCCTCTAGGTTGGCCTTCAACCTCTATCCTCCTTTTCTCAGCCTTCCATGTAGCTATGATTACAGAGCTGAGCTACGAGTGTCTGGCCAAATTAATTATTTTTTTTTTTTAAACTTCAGAGCTTAGCAGAGATTTCCATGTGCTGTTGAAAACTCCTAGTGGAGGCTTGTGGTTCCCAAACTGATCTGCCTACAGAACCGATGTTGGGGAGCAGGCAAGAGGGGCCACTGTCCCCCATGGAGGCCTCGGCATTGGCTTTCTCTGTGGGCTGTAATAGAGGTGAATGGGGCTCCCTCATCCCTGAGCCTGGCATGACCTTCTTAGAGGTGACCCCAGCTCTACTCCCCTGGGTCTCTGCCCAAATGTGACTTCCCCCAGAAGTCCCCACAGGAGCCTAGGAGCACCCCACAGCTCCCTTCCTTCCCCAACCCGCTCATCCGTCTCACAGCACACATCTTGGAGCCCAGGCTGTGTCTCGCAATAGATGGAGTGGGGGTCATTTAATTGACAGCCTCTTTTCTCTCTTAGTGGTTCATAAAATAACGAGGCATCTCCCGGCCCTGGTATCTTCCGTGAGAGGAAAGCGGGCCTCTTAATTTGCCTATCTGTTTTCTTATCTGCTTTGCATGACCGTAAGTTCTAAGCCAGGTGCTGTGGCTCAAGCCTGTAATCCTAGCTGCTCAGGAGGCTGAGCTTTGAGACTTGAGGTTTGAAGCCAGCCTGGACAGAGACCCAAAGCAGGGGACTCTTATCTCCAATTGGCCAGCAAAATGCTATGCTGGCAGTGTGGCTCAAGTGGTAGCATTCCAGCTGTGAGTGTAAAAACTAAGCAAAGGCTTGAGGCCCTGAGTTCAAGCCCAGATACTGGACACACACTCATGAAAAGGAAATGTAAGTTCAAAACCAAGAGGGATTTGGTTCTTTAGTTTATTCTTACTTCCTGGCACCCAGAGCAATAGAGGCGAGCGAGGGCCTCTTTGCCTTCTCTAGTGGGGCCTCAGAAGGCATCTGCCATACTGTTCTCCCCAGGTTGTTCTCCCCACCCCCCAGGTTGCATCCCCCCCAATTTCCTAAGGAGAGAGGCTGGGATAGGAAAGGCAGCAATTCTCCACGCCTGTGACCCCAGGGTTAGGAGATGGAGCCCCAGGATCAGCAGCCGAGACGAGACTCCCAGAGACACGACACACCCAGGCCTCTGAGTTCTGACATCTCCGCGATCTGGCTTTGTCCACCCACTCCCAAATGCCTGGCAATTGGTCACCCGTCTTGCAATGATGGTCATTTGGATTCATTTGTAACCCTCAAGTTGAGGGTTGATTTCTAGCCTGAGATGATGGTAATTTGCTGCCTTCCTGGGCCTCCTCGTCTCGTTCAGCCTGATGTCCGCTGGGGTTTGCCGGTGTGAGGACAGAGCTGGGAGAGGCTGGGGGTTCTCATCCCCTCTTCCCTGCCACCATGTTACCTTTGGCTCGGCAGGGGATGTCCACCACCTTCTCCATCTCCGCGGTGACGTGTCTCTCGGGCTCCTTGGTGAACTGTGGAGGCTCTGGGGGGGGAGAAGGGAGGGGATCAGCCATGCTCCTTGAGATCTAGCCACCCTGATCCCCCCTCAGCTCACCCAGCACTGAGAGGTAGGCGCCCCGGGCCACAGGGCGCACGCTGCTGCTCCGGAGTACCGCCTCACACTCGTAGTAGCCGGCGTCGCTGACGGTGGGGTTGGTGATGGTGAGCCGGCGGCTAAAGTCGCTGATGCCACTTGAGATGGGTACCCCGTCCTTCTTCCATACCACCTGTAGCTTGATCAGGGGTCTGTGGCGGCGGTGGGGTGGAGGAGGGGGTGGGGGAGAAGTGGGCTTTGGTGCAAGGCTTCCCGGGGGTGGGGCAGGTGCAGGAAGGAACACTGGGTGAAGATGGCTGGTCCTGTGATCCGCTCCCACCCCACTTCTTGGGTGTAAACTCTGGGGCAGGTTCCTAAAGGGCTCCAGGCCTCAGTTTCCCCATCTGTAAAGTGAGGGAACTGCGCCCATCTTGTGTGGCAGGGGGAGGGGAAGTGGACTAATGCAGGGTGCTCGGAAGCCGGAGCTCGGGACCCTCCTGGCCTGATTTTCCCCTCTAATCTCCCTGGGTGCCGGGCCTCCCGCTGCCCATGGGCGAGGAGGTGACCACAGGAATGTCACATACTAAAATCTGGAGACAGGAAACAAGGATGGACAGACAGACAGATAGACCCTCTCACTCCAATTCTTTTCCTCCAGTTTTAAGAGCTACTCAGGAGGCTGAGAACTGAGGATTGTGGCTTAAAGGCAGCTATGGTGAAAAAGTTCATGAGACTCTCATGACTAATTAATCACCAAAGAACTGGAAGTGGAGCTATGGTCAAATGGTTGAGCAAAAAAGTTCAGGGACAGAGCTCCGGCCCTGAGTTCAAGCCCCACTATCAGCCAGAGAGAGAAAGTATGTGGAGAAAACATCCAGGTAAGTCTAACCCCACCTCCCCTAACCCTGGGGCCAGGGGCAGAGCTTCCCAGAGCTTGATGATGTTAGATAAGCTCTCCTCTGCAGGACTTCTCAGGGCCTTTAACAGGCATCCTGGCTGTCTCTCCTGTACTCATGAGATATCCGGTCTCCATGAAGTATGTGTTCAGAAACCCTGGGACAGGCATCCACTTTCCAGGACACCTGACCTGGAGGTGACCGTGGATCCTTCACCTGAGTCCCCTCTGGTGACAGCTGTTGCTCTCTGTGGGGTTCAGGTCCGGCGGGTGTCAGGGCTCAGCTGAGGGACTCAGGCCGCTGGCAGGGCAGGGCTCATGGGTATTGTGTCTCAGCTGTGGGCTTGGCCAGCTGGGAGACACAGGCAGGCGGCTTATACCCTCCCTGGATGGTGGGTGGTGGTGGTGGGAAAACACCTGTGTTGTGTCATTGTGTTGGCAGGAAGGGGTTGTGCCACCCACCTGGCATTGGCCACACACTCCAAGGTCACCTCGGAAGTCCCGGTCACCACGCTGGTGTTCCTGGGCGGGACGATGATGGTTGGTGCAATGGGGTCGGCAGGGCCCCCGACATCTGTGGAGAGGTCAGGGATCAGCTGGAGGTGGAGACCAGAAACCTCATCCCTGCCCAGCCAGACTGGTGCCACGCCAGGGCTTTGTCCTCGTGGGGTGAAGACAGAAGCTCTGGGCCGACCCCAAAGCTGTATCTCTAGACACTGACCCAAGACCCTTACTTCCCCCTTTCCTAAGCTCCTGGGGAGCCCAGCTCAGCCCTACCCTCATCATCTGTCCTTGCTACTGCCTTCCAATGCTTCCTCTCTGCCTCAGTTTACCTTGTTGTTAACCATCTCACTGTCTGCCACCAGAGTGCAAACTCTCCCTCGTGAGTGGAACCATGCTCCCTCTCCCAAATTCATGTCTGCCTGTCAGCTGCAAGTACGGACAACGTGGATGGAAGAGGTGTGAAAGAAGCCACAGGGGCCAGAGGGCGGGCTCTGGACGTGATGTAGCCATTATTTGTTCTTATGAACCAGACGAGGGAAATGAGACATCACAGGAGAAGCCATGTGGAGACAGAGACTGGAGATAGAAAGCAAGGAAGAGAGCGGGGCGCCGGTGGCTCATGCCTGTAATCCTGAGTACAGGAGGCTGAGATCTGAGGATCGTGGCTCAAAGCCAGCCCGGGCAGGAAAGTCCGTGAGACTCTTATCTCCAATAAAAACCACTAGAAAACCAGAAGTGGCGCTGTGGCTCAAGCAGTAGAGCGCTTGCCTTGAGCTGAAGAGCACAGGGACAGTGCCCAAGCCCAGAGTTCAAGCCCCAGGACTGACAAAAAAAGAAAAAAAGAAAGCAAAGAAGGAGAAAGAGAGGGAGGGAGGAAGGAAGGGAGAAAGGAGGAAGGAAAAAGGGAAAGAGAAAGAGGAAAGGAAGTAAGAAAAAAGGAAGAAAGGAGGGAGGGAGAGAAGGAAGAAAAAGAAGAAAGAAATGAAGGAAGAAGGAGGAAGGAAGAAATGGAGAAGTGAGGAAGGAAGGAAGAAAGGAAGGAGGAAGGCAGGAAGGAGAAGGAAGGAGGAAGGAAGAAGGAAGGAAAGAAGAAGAAAGAAAGGAAGGAAGAAAGGAAGGACGTTTCTGGACGGTTCACATTGGGGTGCTGGCATGTCTTTTGTCTCTTCTTGCTTTTTTTTGGTTGTTGTTTGTGCCAGTAGTGGGGCTTGAACTCGGGGTCTGGCACTATCTCTGAGCTTTTTGGCTCAAGGTTAGCACTCTTCCACTCGAA